TACAATAGTGCAATCAGCCTAGAAAAGACATGCTATTACCTAAAAATTCATTGATCTTTGTATTTTTTATACATACCTAATCTCACTAAATTTTCTCAATAATCCTGTGAGAAGAGCAAGAAATGGCTCATCGATTGCATTTTGCAGGTGAGGGAATTAATGTAAGTATGTATAGTCCCATTCATCAAGGTCACAGACCAAGCTACAAGCATAGCCATGGAAAGGTCACTAACGTGGGTGTGTGAATTATGTACAAAACACTGTGCTCAGGAGTTTATTCATTTTCACAACAAATCTGTGAATTACTATCATCCATGTACAGATAAAGAAACTGAGATTGAGAGATGCAAAACAGTATTCTCACTTTTACATAGCTCATCTTTGAGAAAACCAGCATTCAAACCCAACTCCAAGGTATGGGACAAGCTGGCACAGGGTTGTTAGAGCTAAAAGTTCTAGCAGCTTCTTCCTTAGTGCTAGACCACAGCTTCGATAATGTGTTGTTTTGGAGTCAACAGTTGCTATGGCAGCCTTCAGATGCCTAACTCAAAATTACCAGCAGTTGGCCTAGTGAATTCCTGAGGCTCCCCCTTCCTGATAGTAGCAGAAGTAACTTTTCTCTGCCAATTGTGTGGAGAGTTAAAGAGCCTACCTCTTTCAATTATTGAATCACTTCTATTTAAACAAGCTTCTCTGTTATTTGCAATTGAACCCTAGATGTTAACAAATCTTTACTGTTTTCAATTGCATAACTAGGTGAGGACTCCAGAAAGCTTTAATCTCCCTATATTAGTGAAGTTAAAATATGCTCTTTTATGTTCTTGATCTCATTCAATTTGAATATAAAAGGAATACTTTCTCCTGATTTCTACAGGAAATCAATCATGAATACAATTTGGATGGTTAGAGGATTTCCCAATGGGGTAGTGTCAGGATAAAAGGATCTCTGGGATCATATGTTACACCTTTCCTCTTAGGAATGGCTGAATGTTACAGTAGATGGAAAGGGCAGGAATTATTTGTATAAAGGAACTAATGCTAAACACAGGAAGGTAATAGGTTGGAATTGATCTACAGAATAAGGTAAGTATATAAATGAGAAAATGGGAGTAAATTGGTAGAAGAGATACTGGAGTCCTAAATGAAATGAGGGATTAGGAAAAAAATAAGGCAATTTTTTAGAAATGTCAAAAATGTTTACTAAGCACCTATTGAGCAACAAACAAGGTGCACTGAAAATAGTCTAGCCGTACATGTCTTATTTGTAATGGCTAAATTAGTCACTAAGTTCTCAGAATCTTTTTAGACACATGCTAACCAACTACTCCACTATTTATACCCCCTGACTTTGAAATCTTGAATTATACTTTTTGTCTTTGTTTGTATCTTCAGTACACTGAGGTCCAGATGAACTCTGGTTTTCATATTGTCCAAGTTACATTCCTCTGTTGATGAGAGCTACATTTAAACTAAAAAGTAGATTCAAAATTTACTAAGATGATGAATTAAGCAGAGAAAATGGGCTAACACCTTCAACTATCTTCCAACTCCCCAATACAGAAAGAAGAAAGGACAAATAAACTATAAATAATAAGTTTAAAATAGATGAATAAGCTTGGGGATATCAAATTAGGAGCCGGGATTTTAATGTCTTCTTGAGGTTAAAGAATCTCCTTTATAGTGTGAAGGTGAAAGGAGGCTCCATGCTATGTGCAAATAATGGATTGCTCCACATGAATGTTTATATCTAGAAAATGCCCATTAACATGCTAAAGTCTGAATTTGCATAATTTGTACTAGGCAAAATCCCATTCCAAAAATAATGGGGGGAAAGATGTAAAACTTGGAAAACCCATACAGCCATGTAGAAACCAGTACAAATCTATCCTGTAGTTATTTCCACAATCCAAAGCACAACTGAGAAAAACAAGCAAGACAATTCTCACTGCAAAAATAATTTAAGATTTATATAAATAGCAAAAAAGTGGAGAAATATGTCTGCGAAGAAGAGTCAATTGGTTCAGTAAGTAGGAAGTAACCCAAGTATCAGAAAAATAATAAAATAAATTGAAACAGACCCTAAAGTACATATTTTAATTAAGTTCAAATTTTCAGAAAGGAAAGATTTCTTTCATTAGGTAAACTGGCTTAGCAGTATATCTTGGTGACATTTGTGAAAATGTAAAACTATTCTAAAAATTTGTTTTAATAAAGAATAAGCCAAACTCATAAGACAAGAATGAAAAAAATGAAAGAAAAATATGAGTAGATAAAAATCAAAATTAATATTCTAGAAATGAAAAGTAATTGAAATTTAAAATTTGTTAAATTATAGATTAAGCAGATGAAAGTCAGTCTGAAAATCGGTCTGAGAAAATTATCCATCCAGACCATTTTGAAAAGTAAACAGTGAGGCAATAACATGGGGCTGGGATATAGTTCAGTGACTGGTTGAGTCCCCAGCAAAAAAACAGAGTAACTCACTCTAGCACTTAAAAAACCTTCACTTTTTTTTTTTTTCTTTTTTTCAGTAGACCTTGCACTCTCACCTACTGCTGAATATCAGAATAGACCTGGGGGCATGCCTCAAGTGGTAAGTGTGCTTTCCTGGCATTCTCTGGGTTCAATCCCTAGTACTGAAAAAAAGAATTATCAGAATAAAATCAGTTTCTATTGGCTCATCATGTCCACTGTGATTTTCTTTAACAGGGAATATCCTTGCCTTGTTCCCAGCTTTAGGGGTTGTTAGGTGTCAGTGTTTTGTAACCGTTCTTAAGTTAAGGAAGTTCCCCTTCTATTTCTAATTTGCTGAGAATATGTTTCATTTCATTCGTTTTTATTATGAATGGGGGTTGGATTTTGTCAAGTGCTTTTTTTTTTTTTTTTGGTGGTACTGGGGTTTGAACTCTGAGCTTCACACTTGCTAGGCAGATGCTTTACCATTTGAGCCACTCTGATAGTGTTTTGTGTTGCATTTTTTCGAGATAGGGTGTCAAGGATCAGGGCTAGTCTCAAATTGAGATCCTCCTGATCTCTACCTCCTGAGTAGCTAAGATTATAGACGTGAGCCACTGGTGCCAGCTAGAATAATCCATTATGGACCAATAGGTGATGGAAAAAGTGGGTCTGCTATCAAAGTGAGCTTTCTCTGGCTCACTTGCTCTGTCCTGCCATGTCATGATGCCCTATGCTGCCTTGGGAACAAGACAACTCTCACTAGAGGTGGTGTCTCAGCCTGGCTCTCCCAGCCTCCAGGAATGTGAGCTGAATAAACCTCTTTTCTTTATAAATTGCAGTCTCAAGTTACAGTGACAGAAAGACATCACCCACAACCCAGACATGATTAAACACAGCCAGCCAGCTCTCTCCTCCAACCCTAGCAGGTTATCTAGGATGAAGCCTCAGGCTGTCTGGCTGAACCCCAAATGGGGAAAACAATGAAATAGAGGCTCCAATCCTTTGAAAAAGGAAACAATAGCCAAGCCCTTTCCCTAGCACAGGGCCTGGCACTCATTCATTCATTCATTCAGTAAACATTTATTGAGTACCTGCTATGTGCCAGGCAGCAAACAAAGCAAAGTCTCTGTTCTAATGGAAATTTTATTCTAGTTGTGATGACAAAAAATAAATAATTGCAGGGTGGAGTGGCTCACGTGGGAGAGCACCTGCCTAGCAAGCATGAGGCACTGAGTTCAAACCCCAGTACCACCAAAAAAAAAAAGAAGTAAATAATTTTCCAACCATGATAAATGCCCTGAAGTATTTTCTAGTGTTCAGACTGTAGCCCCTGCTCCAACTCAAAGTTAGGCTTGGGCTCCCAATCCTGCAGCATTGGCCCCTCTACTGACTTCCACAAGCCATTTCCTCTGAGAAGTTCAGCAAACTCATCGCATTCCAGAAGAACTTATTTTTTCTCCCAGCTGGCTCCATGTCAATGTAGGCAGGCCGGCCATTGGCTACTGCCCTCTCCTATCCAAGAGGACACTCCCTCCACAGCCCAGTGACCTTATTTGACCATATGCAACTCCTTTCCCCCTGACTGGACCAAGATGGGTGCCTGGCAATGTGGGTCCATCAGAAACTCTTGGAACATGGATTTGGACCAGAGTTGTGTTGCTTGATGATAGTAGGTATTTAAAAAGCCATGGTGAGTTGAGCGGGCTTGGGACAGCCATGTAGACACTTCATGATAGATAAAAGAAAGAGAAGTATAGGGTCAGACCATCCCCTCTGGAGCGGTAGTTCTGGCATTTAGTTCCTGCTATGGACTGACTGCCCGTCTCCCTGATTCATACATGGAAATCTAATCCCCATTGTGAGGGTTAGGAAGTGGGAATTTTGGGAGGTGATTACTTCATGAGGGTGCAGCCTCCCGAAAGGGATTAGTGCCCTTATAGGCCTGCTCTGCTCACTGTGCCCTCATAACAAGCCTCTTTCACCTTTCCCTTACTGGTAGCCAGAATTTCTCTGGCTGTTTGTGATCCTATTGTTGTCAAAAAGGCTGTATTAATCAGTTACTGTAACAAAGAGAACCCCCATGTACCAGTGACTTAAAAGATTTTATTTAGCTGATTATTTTTGCAGTACTGGGGATTGAACTCAGGGCTCTCCTCCTATTGGCAAGTGCTCTACTATTTGAGCCCCGTTCATCAGAGAATTTTATTTTTAGATTGCCTAAAAGTCCAGTCACGGACTGAAGGCCAGAACTGTTAGTGGCTTTGGGATCTTCAACAAATGAAGGATAGGAGGTGGGGAGCAGGAAGAGTGCGTAATTTTTTTTTTTTAATTGAGAAAGGATCTGGCTATGTATCCCATGCTGCCCTCAAATTCACAGTGTAACCCAATTTGGCCTCGAACTTGAAATTCTCCTGCCTCAGCCTGCCGAGTGCTGGGATTGCAGGCGTGAAGTACCACGCCTGGCACCTGAAATGATGTATTTTCATCCTTTTAACTGAAATGACATTTATTGAGCATATGTGTCAATCTTCACACCGTCACGATGAGGTCATCACTACTATTACCCCTGTTTTTCAGATTTAAACACTGACGCTTAGAAAAGTTGGTGGAAAAGGTGGGCATCCCGGCACCAAAGTCTGGGGTCTCCAGTGCGCGCAGACAGTGGCGTCGGCCTCTCGGCCCATAGGTGGAGCAATTTCCCAGGCCTGGCGGGCTCTCTCCGCCGGAACTTCAAGTTTCCAGCAGCGGCCCGCCCGGCGCCACCTTCCCAGCTTGCGCCCCGATGCTGCGCGCCCTGCCCCGCGCCCTGCGCCTCCCGCGCCCCTGGAGGTCCAATGGGGCCCGCGACTGCGCCTCGGATGCCACAGCCGGAGGACACGAGATCCAAGTGCGCGCGCTGACCGGTCCTGACCAAGGTAAAAGCGCTGTCCCCGGAGCGCCCGGGACGTGGCTGGGGCCGGGCCAGCCAGGACCCCCGCTGCGCTGAGGGGGACGAGCCTGGTGCGCCCGCTGCACGAGGGAAGACCTAGCTCAATGTGCAGGGCGGGTCACTCAGTGCCACTGAGGCTCGAATCCCAAATCGCCCGCCTCCACGTCGGCCTCCTCAACCTCCCATTTGGTGGTCTCCAGCCGCGTGGAAGGAGAGAGGAGTCGCGCCGGGGTGGCCCTAGGCACCAGAGGCCAGGGGTCAGGAGCGTTAAAATGTCCGGTGTTTTCCCCGTCGAGGGTCCTGGCAAGGTTCCTGGGGGCGGAGGCGGCGGGGCCAATCGGGCTCGGCGTACGGGGACGCGAGGGAGGGAGCGAGGGAGGGAGGAGAGGTGCCGGCCGCCCCACACACTTTCACCGGGCAAGTTCACCAACCTTGGCAGATAACACCTGTGCTCGCACGTGGTGTTGCGTGTGTGGGCTTTAGGTGAGCTCGATGGCGCTGATCACCGTCGTCAGTCCACTGGGCAGAACCATCAGGGAGAAGCCCAGTCCTTGCCTTTCGCCCCCAATTCCATGCTCTTTCCCCACCTTTCCTCAGTGTTAGGAAAAACGCCGCTCGCAAAGAAAGCTCACGAGAAAAGTCTCCCGTCCATAGAGCAAGGTTTAATGGCAGGCCCACACTGCCAGGCTGGCCGGGGAAAAGATGGCGCAGCCCCGAGCCTGGGCGAGCAGTGGCTTTTATAGAAGGGGGAGGGTAAGGAGGTTGGGGTATGCACAGTAGTCTCTGGTAGGGGTGGGGCTGTCTTAAAGCTTGGGAATTTGTTTAGGGGTGGAGCTGCCATTTTGGCTGATTCACAAAATGGCGACATTATTGTTCTATCACTCGGTGTTTGATGTCGAGTTGTTGGTGTCAGAGTCTTAATTTACGCAGGTGGCATTGCACCCTGTATTTCATTGTGTTTCTTTCCCTGACCCTACGTTTTGAAGAGCAGCTTTTTGGTATAAATCTAGTTCCGTGCTTGCTTCTGTTGCATGCTATTCCTTATGTGCATCCACCGATTTTTTTTCTTTTTTTGGCAGTCAGTACTGGGGTTTGAACTTAGGGCCTACACTTTGACTCACTCCACCAGCCCTTCTGTGTGAAGGGTTTTTTCAAGATAGGGTCTCTTGGAACTATTTGCCTGGGCTGGCAGAACTACCATCTTCCGATCTCTGTCTCCCCAGTAGCTAGGATTATAGGCATGAGTCACTGGTCATCCACCTCCACCACTTATGATGGCCAAAGGCCCAATTCTTGGGATTCCAACCTATCACTCTCCAGTAAGACAGAGACAAGTAGAGGCAGAGAAAAGAGATTTATTAGGAAGCAAGCAGAAAGAGGCAAAGTAAGCACTTCAGCCCATCTTCTGGGTACAGACCTGAGCTTAATGTTTAAATAGATTTGGAGGAAAACAGGAGGTACTCATAATTGTCAACAGGTGTGCTTCGTTGGTCAGCACTGTGATCTAGTTAATTATTCTCTCAGGGTTGGTCAGGTGGTGCCTGGTCACCATAAGAAAGTCATTGTTGCCTGTAGGATAGCTCCACTCTTCTCACAAGAAGAAGTCCTGTCCTTCCTGGATTCAGAAGTGGCTTTAAGGTGACTGTCATAGGCAATAGCTTAGAGCAAAGGACACAGACACAAAATGGAGGCAGAGATGCCAAGTTTTTATACTGCTTTTAGTTACCCTTTGGACATTGGAGACCCAAGTGGGAAGTCAGTACTTTTTTAGCAAAAGCACTTTTTAAGTACCTGTTATCGTTAGGATCACCAGTGTCCTACTGTGTCACTTGGTGAGACTTTCTCTGATGAGGTAGTATTACTGGGCTTTAAGGAATATTTAGGATTCTTCTCCCTGCTGTCCAGATTAAGAGATTGAGACACAGAAGGTTAAGCAATGTGAACCAGGTCTGATTTCAAAACCTGCCTTGTCAACCAGGAGGTCATGATTGATTCTTCTAACAACTGAGGGAATCAACAGACTTGTACATCAGTGCACACAGAATCATCATAGCTCATAGACCTTTCAGCTCACTTAGAAATACTGGAATCCTTTTCTCCAGAAGGGAATGGTAAGGAGCTGGGTAAAAGTCAGAGAGAGAAGAAGAGGAAGAAGAGGCCACAGAGGGGACATGAGCATGAGATCACACACCAGACACCACCCCCCCATGACTCTGATACTCATGTCAGGTGCCACAGCTTAGGTGTTCCACTGAGGCAGATGGTGCCAAAGCATTGTCACATTTTCCCCATCATCCTGGACAATGAGAGTGGCTGGTTAACCTTACGCTTTACCTGCTTTATTCCTCATTGATCATGGAGCAGTGCTACTTCAACTCCTTAGGTGGGCAGTCAAGGTCTCCCACCGCAACCTGGCCTTTCCACCTTTTGTCTTCTATCCATGGCTTCATTTAAAGCTTTTTTATTTCTGCGTACTGAGGGTTCTGTCCCGTCTTCTCTGCTTATGTGAATCTCTGGAATTCCCCTACTATGTTGCACTCCTTCCCTATTGTCACATTAAATTTTGTGTGTCTGGACTTAGACAAGTTAGGGTTGTTGTTAGGGTTTTGTTTTGTTTTTTTGTTTCAGCACTAGAATTCAAATAAGGTCTTTGTACACGCTAAGCCACTGAGATACATCCCCAGCGGTTGTTAGCTCTTCGAGATTGACTTCTAACTGTGTCTAGCTGTTACTTCAGCAAACTCTTCTTTTCTGGGTCTCAGTTTCCCCTTCTGTATAGTAAGAGGTTGTTCTCCACAATACCTTCCATTGTTTTCTGTTGATCCCCATCCACCCGTCTTGTGATGCAGGCCATCCAGATCGATGTGACCTTGGCCAGCTGCTCAAGAAATTCTCATGGTCGACTTGGTAAGAGTGGGAAGCAGGTCCACCCCAATGCAGAGGCTGGCACTGTTCTCAGAATCCAGGCCAGACTAAGAAGGCAGGGACCATGGCTGAGCCTTCTGTTCTCCAGAACCTGGCGTGTGGTAGTGTAAATTGAGTGTTGTCAGGTGAACGAATGAAAGCCAAAGACACTCTTGTCTGCTTGGCTCCTCAGGTGTCCCAGCCTGGCGTGTAGTCTCCTGTAGGTCCTAGAGTTGCCCTAGTCCCTGGGCATTTTACCATTTACTGCACCTCACACTGCCTAGACAATTAGGCACAGTATCCCTTTTAATCTTCATAACAAACTTTTAATTATTTCTCTTTGCAAATCAGGAAATTGAAGGTCAGAAGGGTAAAGCGATTTTACCCAAGGCCATGAAACTTACGTGTCCAAGCTGTGACTTAAGCCAAGGATTATAAGATTCGGTAACCCACATTCTTAGAGGGACATAAAGGTGGAGAGAGGAGATGAAGATAAAAGATGAGAGAGAATCTTCCAGAAAGAAAAGACATAACAGGAAAGCAAAGAGGAGAGGAGAATGTTTCTGGCTATCCCAGGATGTGATGACTGTATAGTTTTCTGTTACTGCATAATAAATGGCCACAAAATGTGCTACTTAATACTGAAAAAAAAAAAAAGTGCTACTTAAAACAACACACTTCTGTAAGTCAGAAGTCCACGAATACCTTAGCTGAGTTCACTGCTCCTGGTCTTACCAGGCCACAGTCCAGGAGTTGACTGGGGCTGTGGTCTCGTCAAACTCTGGACTGAACAAAGATCTGCTTCCAGTCTCCTCAGACAGTTGGCAGAATTTACCACCTGTAGCTGTAGGATTAAATCACACTTTCTTGCTTCCCACTGCTCGGGATCACTCTCAGCTCCTAGCAGTTGCTTGCCACATGACTCTCCACAGCCAGGCCCTTTAGTCTAACGAGCGCCTTAAAGCCTTATGTGTATCACAGCCTGCTCTCGGTAGCCACAGTTTATCATCTCTGCATATAATTTAACATAATCTCCAAAGTGACATTTTATCAGGGGAGGTTGGGGTTTTGAACTCAGAGCCTTGTACTTGCTAAGCAGGCACTCTATGGCTTGAGCCACACCTCCAGCCCTAAAGTGACATTTTATGGCCTATGCTTTGTGTTCCATTGGTTATAAGCAATTTATAGGTCCCACCGACACTCAAGGAAAAGGGATTATTCAGAACATGAATGTCACCAACAGCTGACTGGGGTTATTTTGCTCTATCTGGATTGAAATCATGGCTAGGCAGTGAGCAGCTCCCTTAGCACTGACAGCCCTGAGTTCCAGGGGCTCACAAGGTAGGGTTCCAAATCCAGAGGCTTAGGCTTCCAAGCTTTCAAAAGCTGGAGGCTTACTGCTCTAGGTGCCCTATGCAGGGGCTTATTGCTCTGGGCTTATTAACACCTAGTGGCTAGAGTTACAGCTCTCATGCGTTGCGTGTTGAGATCCATGGCTCTTTAACCCTTGTCAGCTCTCTTGAACTCTTCTAGTGACAGGTTCTTGCAGTCCTCATAACCTTGGTTCCAACCTTCAACTCTTCACAGGCTCTTGTCTTCCATCTTCTCAGCTTCTGCCATTTCTCATCTTAGCAATACTTCCTCTGTCCTTCATAGTCTTTTTGGTTTTTTTTAGGTGATGGTACTGGGGGTTGAACTCAGAGCCTCACATTTGCTAGGCAGGTGCTCTACCACTTGAGCCACTCCACCAACTCTTTTTTTGTGTTGAGTATTTTCGAGATGGGGGTCTCTCCAATCATTTGCCCAGGCTGGCTTTGAACCAAGCCCTGCTGATCTCTGTCTCCTGAGCAGCTAGGATTACAGGTGTTTAACTGGTGCTGAAACTGGAGTTTTGGACCCTAGGCCTAAATTCCTGGGCTTTCACCTGCTTTTCACCCCTATTCGCCAAATAAAGAGGCATGATGAAGGAAAGAGGAAAGAGATTTATTACACAGCTCAGGATACGCTGTGGGAAGAGGCACAGTAAGCACTCAGCTCATCTTCAGTCATCTTTTGGGGTACAGACATGAACTGTAGTTTAAGCAGATAAAAGAACTGGGGGCTGGAGACAAAAAGGTATGCATAGTTAACTAGTCCCAGTCACAGGTGTGGTCTGGTTCGTCATTATCTCCGTCCTTGTTTTGGAGGGTTGTTATCTGGATTCACTGTCACCTGGCAGGAGGTCCATCCTGAGGAGGCTCAGCTGTTGGGGGTGGTTTCTGTCCTTTGTCCTTAAGATATTATCAGTTCTCTTGATTGGAATCCAGGGTGACTGCAAAGAGAATGGCTTAGGGCAAAGACAAAATGAAGGAGAGATGCCATGTTTTTCTCCTGCTTTAATTCGCAGGCCTGAGAAAGGAATAAGGAATGGTTTTCAGTGAAAGCAGTTTAAGCACCTCTTAAATGCTTCTTCTTACAGATTCTGTCTTCGGTCACTCTCTGGAACTCTTTAGCTGCTTCCTAGTGTTACAGCTCAGAGCTTCACATGTCAGGTCCTCAGTTCTTGGTGACTCTGTGGAACTCTTAGCCACCTCTTGGTGTTACAACTCTGGGCTTTTGGTATGGGACCCTTGGCTCTGGGTAACTCTGAAACTCTTCAGCTGCCTCCTTGCTTCTGGGGCTGCAACCAGCTTAGCCCGCTCTACCTGTAACAAAAACCACACGTAGGCAAAAGATCATTCAGGAGAAGCCTTTATTAGGGCTTAATGTTGCAATACATGTATGTGTTGGGGGGGGTGCGCTGTGCACAGGAAAGAACCCAAAAAGAATGACAAACAGCCTGCTTATGTAGCCAAAAAAGGAACCTGGCACACTTGTGCTTAAGTTTTGATTCCACCAATCACAGCATTGCATATATACATGATTTCCAATTCTACCAATCACAGTCTTGCATATACACATGGTTTCTAATTCCGCAAGTCACAGCCTTACAAAGGGATCAATTGGTGATTACAAGCCTCACATAGGTACAGCCTCCTTTCTGTCAATTACAAGCTTTTTGTTGCCTCACTGAGGGAAGTACTCACTCTCCTCAGCAACTTTTTTTTTTTGTGGTACTGGAGTTTGAACTCAGGACCTGTACCATGAGCCACTCCACCAGCCCTTTTTTGTGCTGGGTCTTTTTTGAGAAAGGGTCTTGAGAACTATTTGCCCCAGATGGCTTCGAACTTCATTCCTCCTGATCTCTGCCTCCTGAGTAGCTAGGAATTACAGATGTGAGCCACCAGCCCCTGGCTTCAGCAATCTTGTTGAGAACCCCTATTACGAGGTCCAGAACCACCAGGGGTGGGGGTCAGGGTCACCAGGAAGTCATGGCTGAAGTGAAGTTTTCCCACAATGATGCAAGCTGAAACGGTTGTAACTGGAGCAGAGCCTCCTGAAGCAAAAGTTTGTGGCTTCTGAAGCAGAGTGTGATTGCTGTGGTTCTTGCCACTGAAGAGGAGTTTCCTCAGACTGATCATGGAGTGTTCAGAACAGCTGGATTGTTCTGAGGGCAGCCTGGTTTGTTGCCAAAGAAGGGATGGTCTTGCTCATTAATAGGAAACGGTTAAAGGGTACTTACAAATGAAGACCTAAGAACTGGACATTCCTTACAGTATTTAACATAGCGTAATCCCAATCCAAATACCCTTAGGGAGCCTGGGTCCCTCTGATGTCTCAGGAACAAGGGGTCCATGCTGGGGTCTGTCACACTGACTTTGGATCTAGACTGTTATGAGACTTTGAGACTTGGATCTCTTGACTCCTCTGATCTGGCTTCTTTCCATCTGCCAGTTTCCCTTCCCCAAAGTTGCACCATTTTCTCTTCTGAAGCACCACAGCTGGGAAGGGCCAACTTGTTGGACCCCTGGGCTGGGAGATCTTTGCAGGTTTCTGGGGAGGCTAAGGACATCTCACTTGCCTGCATGTTGCAGTTCTCTGCCCTGAGCCTGTAACTCCTGGATGAAACTCTGTCCCTTGAGAGTACTGAAGCTCGCACTGGCTCTCCTCTTGTCTCAGATCAACTCACACCAAGAATGCTGAGCTAATGAACACTGCTGTTCCTCAGACAAAGCTCAGGAGCCTGGGAGACAATCAAGAAAGGCCTGGGAAAAAGCCAGAGGATACAGAAACATGCCTCTGTCCCTCCCTGGAAACAGCCTAGAGGGGGTGACAGGAGTGCTGGAGCACCATCCAAAGCTTGTCTCTTCCCCATACCAGACCAGATGGTGGGAGAGTGAGTTGAGTGAGTTGGGTGCAAGGACCAGATTATGGAGGAGCCTTATGGGTGGTATTAAGGAATTGGATTTTATTTTGCATAAAAGGGGAGGAAGATCTGGAGCCAGTGGCTTGCACTTGTAATACTAGCTACTTGGGAGGCTGAGATGGGGAAGACTGCAGTTCAAGGGTAGTCCAGGCATACAGTTTGTGGACCCCATCTCTAAAATAACCATGGTTTGGAGGTGTGGCTCAAGCAATAGAGTGCCTGCTTTGTAAGCATGAAGCCCTGAGTTCAAACCCAAGTCCCACCACAAAAGGGGGGGGGTAAGTGGGTAGGAAATGGTTGGATTTGGGTTAGAAAGGTGACTCTGACTCAGATGAAGGTATGAATGTGTATGTGGGGGGAGGGAGCAAGGGAGAGGACAAGAGACCTAGCTGGATGATACAAGAAATAGAGGAAAGAACCTATGTTGGGTTATTGGCTGAGAGGGGTATGCAGTGAGCCACCCTAGCTGGCTTTAAGAGGTTGGATTGCCAGGCCTGGTGACCAAGCACATTTGTGGATTAGGAGGAGGGAAGCATTTGCTCACCAAAGGAACAGGAGACAGACTGATCAATTGGGGATGTTAAGTAGGCAGTTGGATATTTAGGCCCAGGGTGCAAAGGAGAGCTCTGAGCTGGCCTAGTACCTGAGGCAGTGTTGGGTGTACATGAGACAACTGTGTGGCAGGTACAAAAGGGCTCTCTAAGGAAAAGGGCAGATCAGCATCCTCAGTTCATTCGTGGGCCTAAGTAAGGAGTTAGTGCTCCTCCGCAGAAGCAGCTTTGAGGAATCTGCTACAGAAGGGCAGGGGTTGCTGTCTCCAAAGAGAAGAGCATGACAGTGATCAAGCCTCTGGGATCACTACCGTTCCCTCATCAGATATCTTTTAAGGGAAAGACAGGGCTAGAGGAATTTAACAGGCTTTTGAAAACACATCAAAAATTTTAATTATGTGGGGAGGTGGGCAGAGGGTAGTGGGGAGATATGGCCCAAACAATGTATACATATATGAATAAATGTAGAAACAATTAACAAATTTTTAATTAGCAAGTCTAAACTTTTATGTCTAAGGATGCACAGCTGGTAGATAAAATGATAAATACATGAGAACTGGGAGTTGTTTGCCGAGCTCCAGAAATTACTCAGGGTGATGAGGACAACTGATGACAGGATGGCACATGAGGTGCGATTTCAACAGCTTCCTTTGCAAGGAAAAATCAATGCTAGCCCAAACTGTAAGCAACTTCATGATTTTCAGCAGTAGCTCATTCCAGCAAAGACAGAATCAAAAAATTATCTAGCTGAGACCTCAACAGTAGTGAAAAACCTCCAAGGGGCAGGGTTGTAGACACCCTGGGTTCAATTTCCAGGACTGCAAAACACCCACACATGTGCAAGCAGGCAAACAAACAAAACACCTCTGAGGAGAGAAAGACAAGAACTTGGAAAATTTGGTGTTATTACAGCAATTTAGGAAAGATCAGATTAAGTTGAAATAGATGCAATGAAGACTAAACATTGAAGAAGTGGTAAGTGACAGGAGCTGGAAGGTGGTTAATGAATGCTGCCAAGTTCACTTTGAGCCTCTGGAGAATGGATAGAGACAGACTTTTTAAAAGGACTGACTGGTCATCTCACAGAGCTCAGCATGACAGCCATCAACAGGCTGGCTTCCTAGCATGAGTTCTGAGTCATCGATCTAAGACCTTTTGTTGATTTCTGCTCCACTTAGCCAAGGCCTCAAGGATAAGTAATTCTGAGCATTATGGAAAACCATATTTGCTATTTAATACTGATCTTGTTTAAAAAAAAAGAAAAAGCTTGTGATTATTAAAATAGTTTTTGCAAGCGACTACTACAAAAGTCAGAAGAGTTACTTTGGGGGGTAGCTGTAATGGGTGGAGGGGCTTTGAGGTGGCTGACACAGGTCCATTTCTGGATCCTGACTGGTGGTTACAGAGTTATTTACCTTCTGCTAACTCTTTAAACTCTAGAGGAAGAGGCTTGGATGCAAGGGAGGACTAACATGCCCATTTTACAGCTGGAGACACCAAGGCCCAGGTGTGTGACTTGCTGTAGAGCTCAACACTCATAAACGGCAGGGGCTGCCTAAACTCAGGCCTCTGCATCCAATCCCCAGCAGGGCCAGCCAGCTCACTTTAGACCACCCTGTGCCCTGCAGGAATCACTGAGATTCTCATGAACAGACCTCATGCCCGTAATGCCCTGGGGAAAGTCTTCGTCAGCGAGGTAAGAAAGGGGAGCACCAGGCTGGGGCCGGGGACAGGCTGGAAGGTATCTGACCTGACTGAGCATCCTCTGTAGCTGCTGGAAGCTCTGGCCCAGCTGCGGAAGGACCAGCAACTTCGTGTCCTGCTCTTCCGAAGTGGAGTGAAGGGTGTATTCTGCGCAGGTGGGTTCCGTCCCCAGACCCATGCCAAGGCTTTGTAGGGCTCCCACCGTCAGGGACTGGTGTGCCTTCCATAAGCTCCAACATAGCACATATCATTCCCCATTTCACAGATGTGAACTCAAAGACTCAGAGGTAAAATTCCTTGCCAAAGGTCACAAAGTAGGGGGCAGAATAGAATTTGGTTTAATCTTGACCTCTGACCACACATCCTCCCTTTTTTTCTTTTTTTTTTTTTGTGGTACTAGGCCTTGAGCTCAGGACTAACGCCTTGAGCCACTCCACCAGCCCTCTTTTTTGTGTTAGGTATTTTCGAGATAGGGTCTCGAGAACTATATGCCTGGGCTGGCTTCGAACAGCAATCCTCCTGATCTCTGCCTCCTGAGTAGCTAGGATTACAGGCATGAGTCACTGGTGCCCTGCCACATCTTTCTTCTTTATTCTGACCTTTAATCAAGGAAATAAAGAAACTGAGTAAAGCATGCTCACGTAGTCAGCAGTCACAGTGTGCCCCTTTGCCCTCCTATACAATCCCAGTCCCTGTCACCAAAGCTCTCCATGGTACTGTGTCATTTGGTCCTCACAACCAGGCAAGCAGGCAAAAAATGAACCTCAGCCCACAACAGAAAGTACATGGAGTAGGACAGAGCTGAGCTGAGCACTGACTCTGGAAAGGTGGTGGAAGAAAGGGTGGCCAAAGAAGCTAGAGAAGGGTGATGGGAGGGGTGTGATTCTCAGGGGTTTTCAAGGGGAGGTGGCTCAACTCTTAAGTCCGAGCTGACATGGTCAGGGTGCACAGACTGGGGTCTGCGCTGACAAGACAACTCTGCAGAGCACTCAGCGTAGCCCAGCTGCCCTGGCCACTTCCTTTGGCTCCATCTCTGACTTCCTCTATCAAGGTCATGGCAGGGTCCTCTTACTCTCATTCCTCACTATCCCTGCTCAACATGCAGGAGGCTGGGATCTGTCCCAACAAGCTCCAGTATCCTGGGGTAACTCCTCATTTCTGGGCCTCAGCTTCCCCAGCTGTCCAAGGACGGACTGGAACTAATAAAAGACTCCAAGGGCTGCCCCAGTGCTGACTACTATAGTCCAGGGCTTGAATAACCACTCACCTTCAACCCCTGCTCACCCCTGCCACCTGGCCTTTGATGGCCTCACCATGGTTACAGTCCTCACCCAGCTGCATGTCACTGCATTATGGGCTCCCTTCTCATTTTATTTTTGAAATTGTGGTAAAATATATATAACGCTAAATTTCCCATATTTACCAATTTTGTTTTGAGTTACTGGGGTTTGAACTCAGGGCCTCATGCTTGCTAGGCAGGTGCTCTGCCACTTGAGCCACTCCACCACCCCTTATTTGCTTTTAGTTATTTTTTGGATAAAGTCTTATGTTTGTGCCTACAGCCAGGCATATACCACCATACCTGGACTATTCATTGAGATTAGGTCTAGCTAACCTTTCACTGGGGCTGTCTTGGAGCCAAGGCCTCCTGAGTAGCTGGGATTATAGTAACTGTATTCCTTTTTCAGTGTCTTGGGGTATGTACTTGGATGAGAATTGCAGGTAATGTTGTTTCACTTTTTAAGCAATCACCCAACTGTTTTCCATAGCAGCTACCTGTTTTATATGCCCAGCAGCAGTGTCCCAGGGTTCCAGTTTCTCCACATCCAAGCAGACATTTTTTGTTTAGTTCCTTTCATGTTTTAAGTGATAACCATCCTAATCTCACTGTGCTTTTGTGATGCTGGGCATCGTTTTTTGTTTTGTTTGGTTGGCAATACTGAGGGTTGAACTCAGGGCTTCATGCTTGCTAGGCAGGTGCTTTACTGCTGGAGCCATGCCCCAGCCTTCTTTGCTCTGGTTATTTTGGAGATAGGGTCCCAAGATTCTCCTATTTTAGGCTTCCCGCCATCACTGGGATGACAGCCATGGAACACCGCACCTAGCTTTATTCCATTGAGATGGGGTCTTGCAAACTTTTTTGTCTGGGCTGGCCGAGAATCCTGGTCCTCCCACTCTCAGCCTCCTGCATAGCTTGGGATAGCAGTTGTGTGCCACCACACCCAGCTGTTGATTGAGATGGGTTCTCACAAATTTTCCTGCCCAGGCTGGCCTCAAACTGCCATCCTTTCGACATCAACCCCTCAAGTAGCTAGGATCACAGGCGTGAGTCACCAGCACCTGGCTGATGTTGAAAATCTTTGGTGTGCTTACTGGACATTTTGTATCTTCTCTGGAGAAATGGCTGTTCAAGTCCTTTGCCTATTTTGATTTGGCTGTTTTTCTTCTTGTGTTATAGGAGTTATACACCTAGGTGTTGGTCCTTTCTTTTTATTTTTTTCATGGTGCTGAGATGGAACCCAGGACTTCGGGTACCCTAGGCGGGTGCTCTACCACTGACCTACACCCTCCACCTCATTACGAACCCTTTACCAGATAGATTATTTGCAAAGATTTTCACCTGTGGTTGCTGAGCGGCTCAAGCGGTAAGAGCGCCTATTTAGCAAGCACAAAGCCCTTAGTTCAAACCCCAGTGCCGCCAAAAAAAAAAAAGATTTTCTCCCACTCTGTGGGTCGTCTTTTCAGGCTACTGATATGTCATTTGATGCACAGAAGTTGTTCACTTTGCTGAAGTCCAGGTTACGCTTTGCTGTGGCTGTTGCCTCTCTCCTTTCTTGACACTCCCCTCCTCCTCCTCCTGGTGTTTCCCGGTGCTTCTCCTTTCTCCCTGGCTGCTGCTTCTCAAGTCTCCTCTGCTGAATCCTTTACTCACCCGGGATTGGGATTGCGTAGTAGGCCCTTTTCCCAAGGGTAGCATCAACTGCTGGCCATCTGCAGGTGCAGACCTGAAGGAGCGGGAGCAGATGAGTGCTGCGGAGGTGGGCGTGTTTGTCCAGCGTCTCCGAGGCCTGATGAATGAGATCGGTAAGGGGCTGGGAGTGGGGTGGAGGTCTGATCCGGGGCCCCAGCCAGCCCCTCCTCACCCACAGCGTCCTACTCCGAAGAGTACTCTTTCTGTCCTGAGCTCTGCAAAGGCACAGATGACTCTCCCAGGGGAATAGGTACAGCAATTTCACAAGGGGGAGGGCACAAGAGGATGCAAAAGACATTTCTACCAGAGAGGGGGGCCTGGTTCTTCAGGTGCCCCATGCCAGTGAACCATCTCATTGCCCTCAGGGCTCAAGCCAGCCATTCCAGAAGTCAAATCCACTAGACAGGCTTTCAGGCTTTGAAAGTTGCTTCCCCATGATAAAAGCGAGAGCACACAAGGGAGTGGTGAGGATAGGTAAGACACCTAAAAAACTAGCTAGCATTTGTTGCCCTTAATGCAGAGAAACTAAAGCAGATACCTTAAAGCAACTGAGGCCAATAGGAAAAGGGGACCAGGAACTAGAGAAAAGGTTAGATCAAAAAGAATTAACCTAGAAGGTAACACACATGCACAGGAAATCAATGTGAGTCAATGCCCTGTATAGCTATCCTTATCTCAACCAGCAAAACCCCTTGTTCCTTCCTATTATTGCTTATACTCTCTCTACAACAAAATTAGAGATAAGGGCAAAATAGTTTCTGCTGGGTATTGAGGGGGGGGAGCGGGAGGGGGTGGAGTGGGTGGTAAGGGAGGGGATGGGGGCAGGGGGGAGAAATGAACCAAGCCTTGTATGCACATATGAATAAGAAAAAAAAAAAAAGAAAGTTGCTTCCCTTTGCCCCGACACTCCTTGGCTACCTGAACTTTCACTCATCCTTCAAAACCTCTAATGCCTCCTCTTCCAGGAAGACTTCCTGACCTACCCTCCAAGCTTCCTTATATTGGAAGTTCCCACATTATCACTGCCTGATCACACAATTGCCTTCTGCACTAGACAGGGTCACCTGGTGGCAAGGCCATGTCTGAATCAGGTCTGTGTCTCCAGCACCCAGCATGGGTTGGCACTCAGAAAGACAGGTCCCAGAGACACCAGCAGGAGAGTGGGCCTGCACAGCAACCATCCAGTCTAGTTCCTGTTCCTATTTCCCACCTGCCCCCAGAAACATTCCCAGATAGAAAAGCCAACTTCTCAAGATAACCTGACTGATGAACCGGTGAGGTCCCCAACGCGGGACCCGTGAGGCCCTCTATTCCACCAGCCTTGGGCCTCTGTCCTGGTCCCGCCGGGCCTCGATGGCTGAACCTGTTTTCATCTCCACAGCAGCCTTCCCTGCGCCCACCATTGCTGCCATGGATGGGTTTGCCTTGGGCGGAGGCCTGGAGCTTGCCCTGGCCTGTGACCTCCGAGTGGCAGGTACTGGACAGGAGGTAGGGGAAGGGGAGGACTGAGGCAGTGAGGGTGAGTGAAACAGGGAAAGTCTGGGGGTTCTCTTGACCTTCCAACCAAGAGAAAAACAGGCAGGATTGGGGACACGGGAGAAGGAAAAGCTGCTTCTCTATCACTGCTGTCATACCTGGTGCCTGCCTGCAAGAACTGCTTCACTCATCTCGGAACGGTTGCTCCAGCCTCCCAGCCTGGGCCGAAGGGCCAACAGTGAGCACGGGAGGGAAGACGAGGACAAAGAGCAGAGTTCAGCCTTCCAGTTCTCCCAACTCAGATTACTTAGTAGAACTGCACAAAGGTGAGCCATGAGGACAGTTGTCACTAGTCCAGCTGGTTGCAAAGCTGCCTGTGCAGGACCAGAGCCCTCTGGTTCATGGCAACATCCAAGGTTTGCATAATTTGCTCTACAATTGAGCCTTGAGGCAAGGGGGAATGAGGAAGATAACTGATCACTTTTCAGGGCCACTGACATGGTGACTACCCTTCCTGGTGGCAGTTCAGACAGCCTGAGTGCAATTGTAGTGCCCTACGTCCATTTCTCCTGCTGCCCCAGGAACACTCAAAAATGTATCTTGCTGGCAGAGTGCCTCAGGCGATGGAGTGACTCAAGCAGGTGTGAAGCCCTGAGTTCAACCCCAGTACCAAGAGAAAAAAAAACTAGGCATGAAGATGGCTTCTATCTATACAATGTCTGTCAAAGAGGGAATTGACTAGGACTGGGGATGTAGCTCAGTGGTAGAGCACTTGCCCAGCCTTCTGGGCTCTGGGTTTGGCTCTGGGTTTGGTCCCCTGCGTCACAAAAAGAAAAAAAAAAAAAAGTGGGGGTTTGGGGGGGACATTGATATGTGGCCGTGTTTCAGGCAAGTAACTCGTCACAGGGTTTCTGTGAGGACAGAGGGGAAACCCCTTCTTGAGCAGTATGGTGGCCTCCATTCTGCCCACACTGCACAGGTCCCATGGTCTGGGCTGGGGGAACTCAGTGGAGAGGTCTGTGGGGGTCAGTCAAGGAAAGCTGCTCAGAGCAAGCAGAACATCGGGGGATGTGGACTAGAATTGTCAAGGACTTTTAAGATTGTGACAAAAACCTGAGAGGTGTGACTGTGGCAGGAGCAGGGGCCATGTACCCTCTAGGTCAGGCTAGAGCTAGGGTGCAGGAGACAGAGAAACCATTCACCCACAAATGGGTGTCAGGTAACCTTCTAGGAGCCTCTGTCTTCCTCCCAGCTGCTCTCTGCCACGCAAAATGGGGCCAGGACAGGAGAGAGTTGCTGGTGATCCTCAAGTTTACCAGTAGGGGTGGTGGGGTGCAGGCCTGGGACTCCTGAGTCCCTGGTTAGGGCTCTTTGAGAAGCGCAGTCTGGAGAGCTCTGGGTGTACCAGGCCAAAAGGGAAGTGAGGGGTCAAGTGGAGACCAGAGGCAGGATTATGTTCTCCCTAGAGATTAGCAATGGCGGGTGAGAGTGGGGAGGGAAGGTTTCACTCTGTTCTGATTAAACAGCTTCCTCTGCTGTCATGGGGCTGATTGAGACTACTCGAGGACTCCTCCCAGGAGCAGGTAACCTCACCTGATTGCACTCTATGGAAATCCTGCCTTCCCTCCTGCTCAGTGTGCAACTCAGAAATCCTGGTGGTTCCCAGGCTGGGCATCTCTGGATCTCCTTTCTCTCCCTGACTTGCAACCTTCATCCCTCCATCCTGGCAGGAGGGACCCAGAGGCTGCCGCGCTGCCTGGGGGTGGCCTTGGCCAAAGAGCTCATCTTCACGGGCAGGCGACTGAATGGGGTGCAGGCCCATGAGCTAGGACTGGTGAACCATGCTGTGGCCCAGAATGAGGAAGGCAACGCTGCCTACCACCGGGCACGAGCACTGGCCCAGGAGATCCTGCCCCAGGTATGACAACCAGGCATAGGAGAAGCTGTGGGAAGCACAGGGGGACCATGTATTCCCTACTCTGCACATACACACACACACACACAAACCCTCTTGAGTGTTTGCATCTGTTGAGCTATGAAAGCAAACTTGAGGGCTAGAGGCATGGCTCAAGTGATAAGAGCATTTGCCTAAGGGCCTGAGTTCAAACCCAGTACCACCCAGGGAAGAAGCCCCCACAGCAAATTTTAATTTCGAACTGAAGTGAAAATTTAATTCCAAAGAGGGGCTGGACTCCTGTGGGTTTGAAGCAAGGTAGCAGGACCCTGAAACTTCCTTGGAGGAGACCATGTTCACCTCAGCTGTCCAGCATGGCAGCAGAGCCAAGTCAAGTTACTTAAATGAGAAAAAGCAGCTCCTGCCAGGTGGCTGCTTTTATAGGTTTTACAGCTGCTCCTGCCAGGTTTTATATCTGTAATCCTGGAACAGAGATCTGGAGGATCATGGTTTGAGGCCAGCCTGGGCAAAAAGTGAGATCTCCCATCTCAACAAACAAGCTGGCCCTGGTGGTATATAATGTTCACAGGAGGTGTCAGAAAGGATTGAGGTCCTAAACCAGTCCTAGGCAAAAAACATGAGACCCTATCTAAAACTAAAACTAGATAGAGCAAAAAGAGCTGGAGTTGTGGCTCAAGTACCACAGAAAAAACCCCAAACAAACAAAAAACCCAACTCCTCAGTCATACTAGCTATATTTCAAATGCTTTTAACTACACATGATATGGTACAACACCCCAGAGTATCTGTAAAGACTGCAAAAGCAAAATTCTCTAGTGGCCAGACTTCCAGTCCATTATTCCTACCACACTGCATGGTGAATTTCTTGAAATATCAAGCAGATGCGCTGTTAATTTTTTAAAATCCTCCAGTGTCGGGGTTAGGTAGAGCACTGGCCCAGCATGCTTGCATGAGGCCCTGGGTTCATCCCCAGCACTGTAAGGGTGAAGGGATGTGGGAACCTTCCAATAGCCTCTGGGATGTTCACCATATTTAAAACTGATTCCTAGGGAGCAGAGCAGAGCAACCCAACTAGCTATATTAAGGGGATGGGGCAGGAGGAAGGGTGGGGAGTGAGTTGTATGTTAGTTGTATGTGTTTGTGGTACTGGGGTTTGAACTCAAGGTCTCAGTTGTTAAGCAGGCACTCTACCACTTGAGCCATTCCACCAGCCCTGTTGTTGTTGTTGTGTGTGTGTATATGTGTGTGTGTGTTGAGTATTCTCAAGATGGGGTTTCTCGAATTATTTGCCTGGGCTACTTTCCAACCATGATCTCCTGATTTCTACACCCTGAGTAGCGAGGATTACAGACATGTACCACCAGCACCCAGCTGGAAGTAGGTTTGACTTATAAATCTTGATTCAGTCCATACCTCATACACACAATGTTAGGCACTTTGATACATGGTGTCTCAATTGTTAGGTCAATGCAGTTGAACTGATTATCCACTTAATAGGGAGAAAAAGACCCAGAAAGTTAAGTGACTTGTTCTTCAAGGTTATAAAAAGTGACTGCAATACCAGAAAAAAAGACAACACTGGTATTTATTTTGCATTATACAGAACACCAACAGAAAATTCTTAAGAGTGCAGAATATGCATAAAATTTTAATAACTTTGAAACCAAATTATACATTTCAAAATAAAAATACTTAGAAACACATTATAAAATTGTTAGATATAAACCTCTGAAAGTAAAAACCATATATCACTTTAATATTAAGATTATAGCTGGGTGTTTTTTTGGTGGTATTGGGGTTTGAACCCAAGGCTTCATGCAGCTGCACAAGCATTCTAGCACTTGAGCCATGCGTCCAGTCCTTAAGTTTCCTAGTTGAATTAACCATGAAAATAAGTGTTCTGTTTGGGAAAACATGAAAAACCTTCTAATCTCTCACTAAAACAATCCTACTGCCTTTGTAACTAAGATGTTCTTTAATTTGGGGGTTAGGGACTATTAACTTTTTTTAATTGACAGGGCCTTTGATTTAAAGAGCATTTGTTCTGTCTGCTGGGGGAGGGTGTTGTTTCACTATATAGAAATGAGAGTCTGCTGCTGTTGCCTGTGAAGTCACACAGAACCCAGAATAACCCAAGGTAGCTACTAACACACTCTAGGTGGACACTAGGCACAATTTGCCTGGTTTTGTGTTCGTTTTTTGGTATTTGAACTGGTATTTGAACTCAGGGTTCACACCTATAAAGCAGGTGCTCTACTGCTTGAGTCACACCTCCAGCCTACAGTTTGCCTTCTTGAATATACTTAACAGAAGACAAAGATGACCAGATTTCCAAGTAGATGACCACCATCTTAGTGGACAAGCCACTGATTAGGGAGTCAAATGGTTCCAGCATTTACTGAGACCAGAAAAAAAAAGTCAGTATTCTGTGAGGTCCTTATCTTAACACTCAGATTCCCCCTTTAAGTAGGAAATGCACAATTATCCTTGGAATAAGGAAGTTGCCTATGTTTTTTTTCTACTTGAGCACCAAAAGGATAGAACATACAGTGTGACCGATTCTCATTTCCAAATACGGTGAAGTTATATTTCTAATTCTTAACATATATCCCATAGAAACATACATATCTTCATAGACACAGCTTTATTTTTTTTTTTCTTTTTGTGGGACTGTGGTTTGAACAAGGCTTTGTCCTTGCACTGTACCAGTTAAGCCACACCTCCTGCCCAGTTTTACTCTGGTTACTTTGGAAATTAAATCTCACAAACCATTTGCCCAGGCTGGCCTTGAACCATGATCCTATCTCAGCCTTCCAAGTTACTACAATTATAAATGTGAGCAACCAGTAGTGGGGAGCTTTTAATTTCTTAATGAAAAATTACAACTGCAAAGCCCTGAGTTCAAACTCCAGCTCTATGGGAAAAAAAAAAAAAGAAAAAGAATTCAGCCTCTTTATCAGGTTGTCACTAGAATAACATTCATGTAAGCAAATCAATTAGAACAGAGGGGTGATTATTAGGGAATAAAGTGAAAATAAAAAAGCAAATCGGTGGCAGCTTAGGTTTGCTGAGTGGAGAAAGGAAGAGCAGTGTGAAAGGTGACTGGAAGTCACACGACTCGCTGGGTGTATGGAGTCAAGTGCTTGGCCTCCCTGAGCCTCAATTTCACATCTCTAATGTAGCTGACTAAGGAGGACACCAGCTTCAATGGCAGGTAGCACCATTTGATGGACCTGCAGGTGGCCTGGTGTGGTGGTGCATTTTAATCCCAGCTACTTGGGAGACTGAGACAGGACGATTTCAAGTATTAGGCCAGCCTGGGCAATTCAGTGAGACTCAACATTTACGTTTTTTTTCTATGATTAAAGCTGGAAGGGTTAGGGACTAGTCTGCTTCCCTCATTGTAGAAAAGGAAGCTTGGTCTAGGAGGTAAGAGGACTAATGGTAATAATGAAGTAGAGCACATTAGTAGAATAACGAGCTAGAACCACACCCAGACCACTGCCTTCCTCTCCAAAGCTCTTCCCTTACAACAGAGCTGTAGCTCAAATCTCTCTCGAAATCAATCTCCCCACCAACCAAATTTTCTCTCCCCTAGGCTCCCATTGCTGTGCGACTGGGCAAAGTCGCCATTGACCGAGGAATGGAGGTGAGATTCCATTTGGGTCATAACTTGGTATAGACAACACAGCAGGGAAGAACTGAGGAACTGGGGTTTGACCTGTGAGTGTGCCTCAGCTTACTTATCTACAAAATGGGAGGTTTGGGTATATTCCTGATAACATTTTATCCCCATCTCTCTCCCTTTAAGTTCAGAAAGGGTAAATGACTTGCACAAGCTCACAGAGGAAATGAGCAATAAGAACTCAGGCTTGTGTAGTTCCCAGTCTGGTTTGTACTGGCAGTCAGTAATGTTATGCCTCTGAAGCAGCTAATTCATTCCTAGACAGCAACTCATCCAACAACTCATTCCTCACACGTTAAAAATCTTACTGAGTGTAGGGATGAAATATGGTCACTGCCCCCAAGACGGATGGGGCCAGTTAATAGACACAACCACTAATGAAAGGTTAATGGTGCCAAGCATATAACCCAGGGAGGTCAGAGCTGTACTGTCCATAGGGTAGCCATATGTGCCTGTTAAACTTGATTAAAAGCAACTATTAGGCCAGGTGTGATGGTACACACCTATAATCTCAGTACTCCGGAGGATGGAAAGTTCACGGCCAGCCTGAACTACACACTGAGACTCACTCTCTGAAAATAAATTCCAGAGAAAAGTTAAAGTATAAGCAAAGGCACAGAGGTGTATAAATAAGCAGCTTGACTAGGAGTGAGAGAAAGATGACAGCCTAGAAGTCAGGGGCACGGGCCCAGTGGCCTGTCTGGGTCCAAAGACCAGCTCTTCTGCCTACTGTGGTGACTTCACCTTTCTGCTGTGCCTAAGGTTCTCAGACATCTAATAGGGATCCTAATCCTTTCTGTGAAAAGTACACACGTGGTACTTGTTGGTGCCAATAAGGGATTACTAAGCAACAGTGGCTGTGGAATGTGCCAAGGTCAGGTCAAAAGTGACAGGGGCCTCCTTCCTGAGGGCAGTAGAACCAACAAAACTAACTCCTGGGGTCACAGGTGTGGTGAAGCAGCCAGTTGGTCAGAAGAACACTGCTTGACCACACAGCTCCTGTTCCTTATCCTCTGGAGAAAAGTCAGCTTTGCCTACAAGCTATGGCAACCTCCCCGTTGTTCACCCAGCCCCCCTTCTCCACTATTTCACTGCTATGAACTCCAGGTAGGGCTTCCTTGATTGGTCATCTCTGCTCCTAGACTGGCATAGGCCATGGCAGAGGAATGAGATGGACCTGGCTTCCAGCGTGGGTGGAAGTAGACAAGGTCAGGCTGATCCAGGGAACACTTCTTTCCTGCAGGTGGACATTGCATCAGGGATGGCCATTGAAGGGATGTGCTATGCCCAGGTATGTGGCCACTGCTAGTCTGTGCATGGTTGTTAGCATAGGTTGGGACACAGTGGGAAGCTTTGTGCAGTACAGGACCAATTGAGAAGGTTCCTCCCAACCCAAACAATCTATGCCACTGCTTCCTCATAATTAAGCTGGAGTGGTTCCAGAGGAACCATGTGGCTTTACCTGGAGACTGTTCACCTAATGGTGCATCCTGCTGCATTTGGTACCCAAAAAATCACAACACACACAGGTACCTAATAAAGGGGAAGAATGGCTTTTCTACCTGTTGTCAGCAGTAGCAATAAGCTGGAGTTGGGATGCAAGATTACAACCTTCACTGTGCCCAATGGAAAGGCTATAAACTTGAGGCTGACCTATCAGCCTGACTATTGGGTTAATAAAAAATGTTACTCTCCAGGGTAACAAATATCCAAAATACTCCTAAGCAAGGGGTCCTGGGACTTGCAGAACCTAGTGACAACCAAGTATACAATCAGATTCAAATATAGTCATTCTTTGTCAAGCAGCCTATCAGACTGTGCAGGTGGTAAGTTCTGGGGAGGAATGTAAGCATTGTATAAGTAGAGGTCAATGCTGATGGACACATGCTAGAGGCTGATCTGCCTTCCCCAAGGAAATAAGGAGCCACTGAGGTATAGAGATTTGCATTGCCCAAGACCAGAGTCCACAGACAATGGAAACATTTGGCTCTGGCCTTGTCATGGTCCGGATAAGATTAAGCAACTCTTCTTTGGGCAGAGGCCCTGCTCCCCTAAAACTAATATCCTGTACGCTGTTGCAGAACATTCCAACCCAGGACCGACTAGAGGGCATGGCAGCCTTCAGAGAGAAGAGGCCCCCAAAATTTGTTGGCAAGTGACTCCCATTTATTCTTGCCCCAAAGAGCCAGAGCTACAACAGGACTGCCCTCCTCACGTCTGGCCTTCAGTTTCTTCACAAGGACAACAATGGATTTCAAGTAACTGGTCGGGGTGCCTGATGTCAAGGTGCTGATCACTACCACTACCACCTTTTTTATTCCTCACTCCAGCTAGCTAATCCACTGGTTCACATTTGCTTTGGAAAATGCCTGGCTCTCCCTACTTGAATGATAAAACTATAGTTTAAAACAGATTCCTCTGAGTCTCTCTGTTGTTGGCTCTCTGGCCCTGATCTCTGCCTCTCAGTGATCAGCAGCTTATTAGACACAGCAAGAGGCTATATATATACACATATATATATATAAAAAATATATATATATTTTTATATATTTATATATATATATAAAATCCCTCATTTCTTCCTCTGAATAAGAGAGAATGAATCATGGGTACTGGCTGAGCAAAAGTATCAGAAGTCACTGCAGATCCCCAGATCTTTGCCAATTACTTACTGTATAACTAAGTACCAACTATTTAACCTTTCTAGGCCTCAGCCTCTAAACCCGCAAAATTAATCTGTTGTGAAGATTGTTAAAGTCCTTATGTTGAATGAACATGTCTTTGTGAGGACCAAGCAAAATCACTGTTGTGATTTTGCCTTTTGTAGACTATAGTGTGGGTGGCAGCAAGGTCTTTAATGGTCTTCAGGAGCACTGAGAAGGGAGAGTAGGGAAATGGGCAAGCAACACTGGAACGGAGCCTAAAAGACTAATAGGCTAGAGGATGACACAGTGAAATTAAAGGGGAGGGTGGGGAGCTGGCATTCACATGTCTGTAAAGGGCTTCAGTGCTCTGTTCTTTCTATTCTACCCAGGTTGCCTCATGATATACCTCTAGTTATCTGGTAACACAATGCTCCAAGGTACTGCAACCCAAGGTATGAAAAGTAAAAGACCCTTTTTAGAATCATGCAGAGAGTGGGTGAGAGAAAACATAATACAATTTAAGGACTCTGGAAGGACTTGGTCACAAACTGTTTATGTAGGACGACCATGGTGAGTAATAGTTTGGAACATGGTTTAGGATAACTAAAAATGAGCTTCTTCCTCATCTAATTCTCAAGAATGGCATAAGTATGGACCAAGCCAACTAAAACTCAAAAGTCTAATATCAAACAGGAACTTACTTTTGTTCTTTGAGAACTTAGATGAATGACAAAACATGTTCATATTCTGTTCTTCACAACAGCTTTGCAGATCTATCATAGTGAAGCTGCTTCTCAGACCACTTTTTTGTCTCCACACTGAGTAGGAGCAACCATGGAAATGTTTTACAAAGTCTGTTTTCTAACCTCTTCTTCCTAGTTCAAACTAAACAATTCCCATATATTCGTTCCTCTGAACACTATTCTTAGGCCCATGGCCCACTATGCCCATACACACACAATTTATACCATTTGGCCGAATTTGTCATGTTGCAGGAAAAAAAGCCAAAGATAAAAATTATAAAAATGTTTCTCTTCCTTCCACCTCTCAAATCTTATTAAAAACTTTTCTCCCCCTCCCTACCAGCAGAGGTCTTCCTTCCAAAAAACATTTATAAGTATATATTTTTCATCTTTTTTCATGTACTTCTTTTCTGGTAGCTTCACATAACCAGGAATAACAACTGAGAAAATTTAACATAAATACCAAGGCCTCCCTATAGGTCTTTCCTTTATCTTTTAGAGTAAACAGGTACTTTCTCCCCAAAACTGTTCATGGCCAGAGAACACTGGTACAGATGTTGCAACACAAGCTTCCATGTCTTCCCAGTGCCTGTGGTTTGGTTTTTCAAAATTACTGAAGGTGTGTCTCCAGAATAATTCTAACTGGATTTGGGATTATGGTTATCATACAATTTTTTTTTTTTCCTGGCAGTATTGGGACTTGAACTCAGTCAGGGCCTTACACTTGATAGCCAGGCATTCTACCACTTGTGCCACTCCCCCAGCCCATTTTTTTTTTTGAATCCTCCCCCTCCCAGACCATTTTTGTACTGAGTATTTTCAAGATACAGTCTCAAAAACTATTTGCCCAGGCTGACTTTGAATGATGAACTTCCTGATCTCTGCCTAAGTAACTAGGATTACAGGCATGAGCCACCAGCACCCGGGTCAAATCCAACTTTTTTGTAACACAGAAAATAAACAAGAAAAGGCCAATGAGACAGCTAATTCACAACTCAAACAACTAGTATGAACAATCAATTACTGACAGGGCAGAAGAACTGTAGTGGAGGAGCAGAACACATCTCAGAAGCACCTTAGGTTAAAAAGGCTATTTGCCAGAATGGGAGCCTCCGATGATTATAAAATGCATCCTAAAGTCCTCTAGAATGGAAGCTGCAATCTGCTGCACTTGGGGGTTCACCTTACTGTGCTCCTGGATATCACACAAAAGCTTCAATCCTTCTTCTTCTACTAACATTTTGCAGTATTTGCTGGCTGAAAGAAAATCAAACAGTGAAACTCCATGGACAACTAGTATTTTAAATATTAACAATTCACCACATTCACTTAAAAAAAAAAAAGTACAAAGCCCTAAGCCTTTTGGCCCAGAAACTAACAGATAAAATGAGTTAATTCTAGAGAAATTTGTCAAAACTTAGATAATGCTTGACTTATATGGTGAGAAAACAGATAATTTAGTATATTTCTTTCTAAATTATTCTGCTTCAAGCATCCTTAATCTTTAATAAAAAGGAGCAATCTTCTTTTACTGCATAAACAATACACATTTTAAATTCATGCAGTATGTTGAACCAAAAATGCCACATCCTGGTTAAAAATGTTTTTAAAAAATTTAGGGTTGTGGGTGTAGCTCAATTAGGAGACCATCTGCCTAGGAACCACAAAGCCCTGAGTTCAAACCCCAGTACTGACACAAGAAAAGAAATTCAGAATGGTGGTGGGAATGAACCTACGCAAGGTACACTGTAGGCATATGAAGATACCTCAGTGAACACCCCTATAAACTAATATATGCTAACAAAAATGTTTAAAAAGATACAAAATTATCTTAGGGCTCTGGTGTGTGGCTCAAGTGTTAGAGCTCCTACCTACCAGGCCAAGTTCAAACCCCAGTACTTAAAAAAAAATTTTTTTAATGCACAATAGAATTTACAAAGTACAGGAACTGTCCAGGAGCCAGAATGAAAGAATAGAAGTAAACTCAGGCTGGCCCCTCCAAAGGACTAGATAAGAGAAGCAGAAGATGAAGACCTCTGTTATGGTACAGGTTCTAGGGTGTACAGTAGAAGTCTTTGCTGAGGATTCATGTCCACAGTCCCAATTTATACTACCTGAATGTTTCTAAAAAAATATGAAAATCAGCCCAAGTCTAGGAAAACCTCTGGAGTACTTCAAGGAGAAAATAAAAAAACTATGCTGAAGAGACATGTCAATTCAGTGTAAAATGGATTTTAACAGAATCCATTATAGGCTCATGCCTATAATCCTAGCTACATCGGGGCAGAGATCAGAAGGATTGAGGTTCAAAGCCAATGAGGGTAAATAGTTCACGAGATCCTGTCTTGAAAATACTGAACAAAAAGGGCTGGTGGAATGGGGCTCAAGGTGTTGGCCCTGAGTTCAACCGTGGTGCCAAAAAAAAAAAAGCAGCAGCAAAGAAGATACATGTCTAAAAGAAATTCCACAAGAAAAAAACAGAGAAAATGGGGGAAGGGTAACATCTCAAATTCCTAAATTAAGGAAACTCTCTAAGTGAATAAAAATAAAGCCACCTTCAGATAAAATGCAGTTAAAGCTGCAGATCAGCCAAAAAAAAGCCAAAACCCATAAAGGAACCCAAAAACCAGTTACTCATCAAGGAATGATGATATGATTAGGCTGACAGCAGAGCACAATAGCAATAGGAGAAAATTGAAATCTTTATATATCTGCCCAATGCTAAAAGAAAATAACTGTCATTCTATGCCCAGGTATTTAATAGTAACAGTGGGGTGAGGGACCAATATATTTTAGTTAAAGAGACTTTTTAATCACTAACCAACTATCAAAACTCAAATTCAGAAAAAGAAGGGGGTAAGAGGAAGCAATGGTGAGCAAAGAAAATGGTTAACATTTAGGTAAGCTAAAAAAAGCACTGACTGTGTAACGTCCAGTCCTGGAGGTATAGCTCAGTAGTAAAGCACTTGCCTTGCACAAGGTTATGGGTTTGATCCTAGTGCAAAAAAAAGAATAATATAAAAACAGCCAGGCATGGCGGTACATACCTGTAATCGTAGGAGGAGGATTTCACATTTGAGGCCAGCCTGGACTATATGTGAGACTGTCTCAAAAAAGAAAAGTTTAAACAAGGTAGGACTAAAATATATTGATTAATGTTCTTGAATGGAAAGACTCAATCATGGAGATAGGAATTCCCCTTAAGTTGATTTATAAATTTAACATAATACTAATAAAAATACCAAAAGGATTGCTTTCGGGTGAGAACCTGAAAAGATAAGTCTACAGTTGCTATGAAAGATATATAAGAAAAAAGAGTCAACATAAATAAAGAATTCCAAGAAGTGTGCTACTCCTTTCAGACATTAAAGTATGATGCTAAACACCAAGTTAGAACAATTAGGAGAAAACACATGATACAACAGATATTTAAAAATAGACCAGAAAAATCCAGTAGGGAAAATACAGATTATTTAATAGAAGACTATATAGGGTGAAAAATTAGCAATGTAGAAAAAAAATTAAGTTATATACATAATTCAAACCACATATCAAGAAAAGTTCCAAATAGACCAAACATTTAAAGAAAATGAAATCACACAAGAAAACAGGAGACTTCTTTTATAACCGAAATGTAACCATGACCTGAAATCCAAAGTCCACATTACAAAAGATTAATAAACACAATGAACATAACACAGACCACATAGAGAGTTCCTTCTAATCAAAAACACAAAAAGCAAACAAAAGGTATCAACAGACAAAGGAAGTGACTCATCAAAAAAAATGACTATCCTCACTTAAAAGAAGTATAAACTAAACTATCACATTAGACTGGCAAAATCAAAAAGTTCAATTAACACTGCATTTCAAGAAGGTAGGGAAACTGGGCTTGGGGTTGCAGCTTACTGGTATGGTAATAGCCTAGCACGAGCAAGATTCTAGGGTTCAGTCCCCCAAACTACCAAAAAATAAGTAAATTAGCAATACCTATTATCTATAAGGATTCTGCACATTAACTCACACACTTGCAAAATGATCAATTTAACAAAAATCTTTGTACTGTGCTAGTACTGACACTATGCTCTATAAATGCTAACTATTGTACTATCAGCCAAACACTGTTCTAAATGCTTCCCAAATATGAACTCACTAAGTATCTTTAATAACCTAGTTAGCTGAGGGAACTAAAGCACAGAAGTGAAGTAATTTGCTCAATTCGCAAGTTAGTAAATGGCAGAACCTGAGAATAGGTAGTGTGGTTCTGGGGTCTGTTTTTTTAACTACCACATTATAGCACATGTACATCTTTCTTGTCAAATATATAATGTGTGTACACATGTGTATGTCATCATTTTTTGAACTCATATTTGTAATAGCAAAAGCCTAGAAATAATGTCCCCTCTTAAAAAAAAAAAACACTACATAAATCATTTTATTCATAATGAAGAAACTCTGAGCAAGCTAAATAGTGCTACCTCTTGGCCATGTGCAGTGGCTTACACCTGTAAACCTAGCTATTTGACAGATGGAGATCAGGAGGATCCCAGTTCAAGGCCAGGAGGGGTAAAAATTAGCAAGACCCCCATCTCAACAAAAAAGCTGGGCATGGTGGTCACAATTGTGATCCCAGCTATGTGAGAAGCCATAGATAGAGGAGGATTGTGGCTTGAGGACAGCCCCAGGCCAAAAAAATAAATAAAGACCCTACCTGCAAAATAACTAAGGAAAAAAAAAAATAAGGCTGGGGAGTGTGGCTCAAGTGCAAGGCCCTGAGTTCGAATGCCAATATGGCATTTGATAGGGCATTATCAAGACTAAATGAGTCACTCAAATACTGCTTGGCATAACAGTTAGTGCTCAAATTCTAGTTGTTACTATACTTACTTCTGTTGTAATTAAAAATACTAAGGCTGGGAGATAGCCCGACCTGTGTAAGGGCCTGGGTTTGATCCCAGCACCACACCAAAATGACAGACAAAAAAACTGGGGTTTTTATACATTTACATTATGTATAGTCAAGATGCTAAATATCTAATCTGAAAGTTGTCTTTTGGGTTTTCTAGCAAATAGGTGCCTTTTTTTTATAACAGTATTTTTTTTTCTGGTGAGACAGGGTCTGGCTATGTAGCCCAGACCAGCCCAAACTTGCGGTTTTTTCCTGCCTTAGCATCCCAAGGGCTTTGACTGCAGATGTGTGCCACTGTACCTAGTAAAAAAGCAAAATTTTTACAATAATCCTGAGGAAAGGATATAAATAAAAATTCTTACTGGGTGTTGTTGGCTCACGCCTATAACCCCAGCTACTCAGGAGGCAAAGATCAGGAGGATCATGGTTCGAAGCCAGCCCAGGCATGGTCCTCGAGCTCCTTCTTGAAAAAAACCCTTCACAAAGAAAGGGAGTGGTTCAAAGTGTAGGCTCTGAGTTCAAGCCCCACTACCACAGAATTTTTTTTTTTTAATTGACAGTACTGAGTTTGGACTCAGGGCCTCATGTTGCTAAGCAGGCAGCAGGCATGCTACCACTTGAGCAATGCCCGAGCCCCTGGAAAGAAAATTTCAAGCAGCAAAATATGCAAAAGTATTTACTCTTCCTGAAAAATCATCTGACTGCTGATCTCCTAAGTTCCCACAGACCATTAAAAAGCAGCAGCTCCATATGTTATTGTAAGAATGTTAGTAGTTGGCAGGGAGGGGTAAGAAAGAGTGGTAGAGAGGTAAATACAGTAAAAGTACATTATATTCATGCATAGAAATTCACAATGAAACCCCTCACTTTGTACAACTAACATATGCTAATAAAATTTTTAAATTCTAAAAAAGAATATACTAAAGTCATTAAGAGAGGAGGGAGGGAGAAGAGTGTTAGTGGTGCTGAATGCAAACAGCAAGCAGTTGGAGAGCATGCCCAGAATGAGCCCATTTTTATTTTAAAATATTATGCTTATTAACAGCATATACTAAATATAGCATATGTAGAAAAGTAGCTAGAAGGATAGCTATCAAATTATTCATCAGTGCTTGCCTGTGGGGGACAGGAGTAGGTGCAACTTGTATTTTCTAAACTGCCAGATGTCACTCTCAAACATATTACTAATTCCAACAGCATTTTTTTAAACTAGTAAAATTTTTCACTTTCTTTTTAAAAAGAGGCAAATTCAGGACACAGGTGAACAATTTGTCAAAAATCAGAAAATAAAACTATCAGCTGAAAAACTACTGCTGTGTATATGTTGAATACATACGGTTTTTACTGCAGACATGATACATAGCCCATAATGCCCAGAGTTGAACCTCTGGTTGAGAGAAGTTGCCAAGGAGTGGGAAAAATGCCTTGAAAGATCTAAAAAAAAAAGAAGATATTATTTCAGAACTCAAGGATATAAAAATAATTTTCAACATTTTCCCCAGAGTCAGTTCCTCACTGAGACAGATGCATTATGCAGCATACATAGGGATCTATCACTTAAGAAACTGCATTCAATGTCAGACACACTATTATGTTTAGTATCTCATTTCATCTTCTAGCTTTCACAGTCAGCCTCATTCCATAGATGAGAACTGGGTCTTAACAGCTTTTCAGATTTTTACAGTATCATGGAAAAGAAGAAGGATTTGAATATAAAGCTAATTGAAACTAGTATTTATCATGGGGTATGCTAAGGGCAAGCCTTACGTACCACATCATTAAATTACCTGTAAGTCACCAATGCTGACATTGTACAACTTGAACTTGGCCAATTCTGGATGGTTGCATGCTATACTCCAAAAGAGAGGGAGAAACCAAGATTCTAGTATTATATTCCATTATTTTAAAAATATCATAATAAACTACTTTCATGTCATTTATAATAACAAATATCTGAAATATAAATTCTGAAAATATTAGCTATCCCTACTTGCAAATTATCTATTAGGTAACTATTACATATGTAGAATATATGAACAAAGTCATGTAGGGAAAAATGCAAGGAAGGGCTGGGGATGTAAAAGCTCAATGGTAGAGCACTTACCTGGTTTTGGGCTCTGGGTTCCGTCCCCAGCACCACCACAAACAAATAAAACAAAACCAAAAAATTTTGTTATCAATGGTGGTACTGGGGTTTGAACTCAGGGCTTTGCACTTGCTAAGTAGCACTCTACCACTCGAATAAATAGGCTACTTTTTAAAGGTAGTGAGCTAAGCATGCATTAATCTATACTCCTTCCTTCAGTCCCATTACAGAATAGTAAAAACAGTTTGAAACAGAAGTAAACACATAGAGAACAAAGTAGATGAAGAAATGGTAACTGGTTTAACCTAAGTAGCACTGGACAAGGTTACAAACAAACCAACAGACTAGAACCCTAAAGGAACTTAAAATTTTGGCATACCAGATACCTTCCAAAGTAAAATTAGAGGTAGGGTTGAAAACAGGAGGTTGGTTGAAAGGATTAAGGGATCAAAACCCCTTAGTTATCCTTTGCTATCCCTTAACAAAGACTTCTGGGCTAGGCAACTCCATTAACAATGAAGAGCGAGAGAACCATGCTAAAAAGAGGGGAGTAAACTAAAAATCTAAATGCTAAGAGATTTCCCTGTTCCCACTCTCTTTCTTCAGTGGGCTTTGAGGTAACACCAAGCTTAGTTTTCATGCAGGAAAATAGGAGATTGTTCATGTAAGCTCCAACCAGTTTAGGACAAAAGGTCCAAATCTTTGTGAAAGACATCTAATCCAGATCCCTCTGTAGTGAAGCCCAGAGCTGACAAATTCCACTCATCTGCATAAGGCTATTTTCTTTTTGTTTTTATTTTGTTTTGTGGGACTGGGGTTTGAACTCAGGGCTTCTTGTTTGCAAGGCAGGTGCTCTATCACTTGAGTCACACCTCCAGTCCATTTTGCTCTGGTTATTTTGAAGATGGAGGTCTCTAGAACTATTTGCCTGGGCTGGCCTCAAACTTCAATCCTATTGATTTCAAACTCCCAAGTAGCTAGGATTATAAATGTGTGCCCCTGGCACCCAGCAGGATGTATTTTCAAAAGCACACAAAGAACACAAGAGTTCTTGAAAATGTAACAGAAGAAATGCAAAGTCCAAAAGAGGTTTCACTGGGTGCCAGTGGCAACCTATCTCAAAAAAATCCATCACAAAAATAGGGCTGGTAAAGTGGCTCAAAGTGAAGGCCTTGCTTGAGTTCAAACCTCAGTATAAGGAAATTTAAGATTAAGACAGACAAGTTAGAAGACATCAGAAAAGATGAGTGAGTCTGAGCAGGCCAATTACCCTGCCACCAAAAAAACAAAAACAAAACAAAAAAATAGAGGGTTAAAAAATATGAAATAACAAAGTCACCAGAAGGGAAGGAGGAGAGCTTCCAAGTGACAAACACTTGAGACCATACATGAAAACAAACCCTTATCAAGGCATATCACTGATTTCTGAGCATTAAGGACAGAGATCTTAAAGCTTCAAAAAACAAACAAAAAAACTTTGCACATGACTTTACATCAGCAAAACTGAGAAGCAAAAGAGAACAGGGCAAAGACTTAATAATGCTGAAGGAAAAACTTCAAAGCTAAAACCCTAAACCCAACTATTTAACCAACTAAGTCTGAGAGGAAGATAAAGCCCTTTTAAAAGTGGTAAATTCTCACTTTTTTTTCCACCTCTACTGGAGGATACTTAAAATGAGGGAAGGAACAAAAAAGGGACTAAGCCAAGAAGCAGCAAGAGAGTCAGAAACCAGGGAATGGGGGTTGGGGATTTAGCTCAGTGGAAGAGCGCTTGCCTGGCAAGTGCAAGGCCCTGAGTTCGGTCCCCAGCACCAAAAAAAAAAAAGAAACCAGGGAATGCAATACTAAAGAACCAAAGGAAATCCCCAGCGTAATAGTAAAGGAATACTGTAGGATGCCAACAACAAAGGTACAGCAGATATGCAAAGCAAGCAAACCAGACAGAACAAACACAGAAGGCTCTGAGAAGGTGAGGTGGATAGAATATGCCTGAATATATTGAAAGGATTTATAGTGGAGTATAGGAAAGCGTGTGCATAGGGACACTGAGGTAATGTTTACTTCCCAATATGGGAGAATTGAGAGATGCCTAAAAATAACAGAATCAAGAACAGCAACATAATGTGTTACTTAGATATGGAGGTAAATACCAAAAGAAATAGTTTTGGGTTTTTTCTTTTGCAATCCTCCTGCCTCAACCTTCTGAGTAGCTGGGCTTTCAGCTGTGCACCATTATGCCTGGCCTGAAAGAAATGCTTTTGAAAAAGAGCTGAAAGTGGGAAAGAGGATTGGAATAAGCCATACCCAACTATACGCATGTGTAACTCTTTACATTTTCCTGCATTTTCCCCATCTTTCACAATAGTCACATATTTCTAAAACTCTTAGGATTGAGTTATCTGAAGAAAAAGATTACTCTAGAATTTTTGAATAATGGTTCCTGTACCAAATCCTGGAGAAGAGCATTCCTCTGCAGGTCACGGAAGAGCCAGTGCTGTTTATCACATGTCAGGTGGGCTACGACACCTGCAGCGAAATAGCTCACTTCTATGTCCTTGCTGTGGAGTAAACTGCTGGTATGCTTCATCACGTCTTCAGTGACCAGCTTGGGAGACAGCTCTCTGACTTCTGCTATGTTGTTCTATAGGCCGGAGGGATCAGAGAACATCAGGAACAGGAGGAGAGAGAGAAGCAGGAACTTGCTCGTCTCCCTTTCCTACTGCTCACCTCAGATACATTTCCAACACTTACTCCCATCCCCCCAACTTTCAACTTAGCCAAATACCCAAACACCACCCTTCAATGTGAGCATGACCACATCTCTAAGTAAGCACTTACTACATGGCAGGCACCGTGCTAGAAAGTAAATATATTTTTATATGCTTTACCTCTTATTTATTCTTTAAAATAATCCTACAAAGAAACTTAACACTCAGGAAGACTGAAGTGTCAAGTTCACATGGCTGATAACTTCTTGAACTGAGTGCAAATCTAGGCCAGTCTCCAATACTGAACGTTACTAGGAACCTGCTAGATTTTACATTATCTAGAAGTTTAACAGTAACATTGAAAAGAAAGTAGTATAGTATTTATTTTATCACCTATTGCACCTTAAAATAATAGCAGTCACTATCTTACACTTCCTATGGGACAGGAATCTCGGCATGATTGCACTGGGTCCTCTACTCTGAGATCTCACAGGCTGCAATTTCATCAGGAGGCTCCACTGGGGAGTATGTACTTCCAGGTTCCCTCACTCTGTCAGTTTCTTGCTCAGCTGCTAAAGGCTGCCCAGATTCCCATCATTATATGAGCTACAAAGCCTTCAGTCTAACTTTTTGGTATTATTTTCCATTGCTTTTCTCTTTCCCACCTTCTCCCCAAATTCTAAGTGTTCTGTTTTACAGTGCTCCTCAAATGATTGCTTTTTTCTAGTTGTTTTGTTGAAACAAGGTCTCATTATGTAGCCCAGGCTGCCCTCAACCCTGTAATCCTCCCGATTCCACCTCAATCTCAAGGAGCTGGGATTATAGACCTACACTACCCTATCAGTTAATTATAGTTTCTCTAACCAAAAATGACCTTGGTCCCCTACCTCCTTTTTTTGAGGTAGTACTGGGATTTGAACTCAGGGCCTCATGTTTGCTAAGCAAGCACCTTTCTCATGACTCTTCTGCTTCTTCCAGATTTCTAATCCTTATTTATTCCTCTCTGTGAGGGCTTTCACATCTACTTTGTTCTAAGTCCTATATGTGCTAGATGTACAAAGAGGATATGGCACAGCCCTCACTCAGTTTTGTTTTGTTTTGGCAGTACTGGGGTTTGCACCCAGGGCTTTGCACTTGACCAGCACCTCAGCCCTTCCCTTGTTTATTTTTAAATTAGGACATGGTCCACAGTTCAAACCCCCCAAACACTGTAATGATCAATAGATTAATTTCACAAATTAAATGGGATTCACTGTGACACTTTCATACATATATAGTGCATTGGTCAAGTCCTCATTTTCAAGGAGTTCATTGGCTTTTGTAATCTTTTTTTTTTTTTTCTGCAGTACTGGGGTTTGAACTCACGGCCTCCAGCTTACTCGGTAGGTACTCTACCACTTGAGCCATTCTGCCAGCCCAACCAGAGGCAATCTTAAATGAGAGAACTACTTGTACACAGGCCTAACACCACCTTTCAAAGTTATAGGTATTCTCAGCTTGATACATTTCATGCATCTGTGACTTCCACTACACCCTGCATGACAAACATGTTTACAGTATGTTTTCATTACTTTTTCTAAATCGTTTTCTTCAGGAAGCAAAGAAATTTCCCAAGTAAGCAATATCCTAATTGAGAGGCAATACAGAAATATGAATAAAGAATTATTTTTTGGTGGTACTGGGGTTTGAACTCAGGGCCTCACACTTGCTAATCTCTGCCTCTAGAGTAGCTAGGATTACAGGCATGAGCCAATGATGTCCAGCTGAACAAAGAAATTTTTTTTAAAAAAACTGGTGACTTAGGATAAATGATACATTTATAAAGCCTCAGAGTCCAGTTATGGCACAATTTTTCCTATCCCTGTGTATATATTTCCCCATACCACCGCCCGCCCACCACCCCCCACCCCACGGCTTAGCTATGGGACTCTGCTTCTCCTCCCATAAAGGGATTATACAGGCTTTAAGTTCAGCCTAACCAAATAACTTGCTTTGGCCAATTAGACATTAGCAAACCTGTCATAAATAGAGGTTGAAACTGAAAAGAGTCAGTCCATCTTAGACCATCCATCCCTAGTCAAGCAACTGGGTGACTGCAGCCATGAGTGTACCCACACCTGTAGAACTAAGCTGACTGTTCACCCAGATTTTTGTTTGTGTTTTGTTTTTTGAGACTGTTCTCACTATGTAACTCAACTGGCCTAGAACTTGCAATCCTTTGGCCTCAGTCTCCCCAGTGCTGGGATTACAGGCATGTGCCACCATGCCTGGCACCCATGGATTCTTAAGTAAATACAACAGCAATTGTTTTAAGTCACTAAGCTGTCATGTGCTCACAGCAATAGATAACTCATATGCAGTGGTATTTACTTTATGAGGATAATATGAAGATTAAATAAGTTTAAAAACATGTAAACTGCTTACAACAGTGCCTAACATGTAGCAGGTACTACAAGTGTTAGTTTTCTTTAAGTAATAAAATTAATTCAAAACAATTTCTCTTACCAAAAGACCAAGTACTTTGCTTTGTATAGGGGACTCTGAAAAAGTCTGTCGAAAGAACAAACAGGTTACTTCATCATGAAGAAAAGAACTTTACATATAAACGCAAATCCTGTCTTCCCACCTCTAAGACTTGGATGAAGATCTCCAGCCCTTGATTTTCAATAATGTGCTTGCAGGCAGCCGGAGACTCATCTGTAAGATTCCAAAGTGCTTTCAGAGTAAACAAGAGGGTGACATCATCTAAGTTCTCAGTAGTCTTTTGCTTCACTATTGTTAGAAGTTCCTAAAAACCAAAAAGACAGAGTTAGATGCCCTCATGACTGACTCACTCCAGTATAGGGAGAACAAAGAGGAGCTTTAGAATCAAACTACATTTCTCAACCCAAGTTCTGTGTGTGTGTGTGTGTGTGTGTGTGTGTGTGTGTGTGAGAGAGAGAGAGAGAGAGAGAGAGAGAGACTGGAGTTTGAATTTAGGGTTCTCTACTTGCAAAGCAGGGACACTACCCTGCTTGGGCCACACCTCCAGTCACTTTGCAGATGGAGTCTATATAACTGTCCCAGTTGGCTTCAAACAACGATCCTCCCAAATAGCTAGGATTAAAGTCATGAGTCACGCATGATCTGTTTTCTTTCTATAAAATAAATTATAGTTGCAGTTTTTTTTTAACTACTGTTGTTCTACTGGGGGTACGCTGTTGACATTTACAAAAGTTCTTACAGTGTATCATAATTGAACTCACCCTCTCCATCATTCTTCTTTATCCCCCCTTCCCCCACCACTTAGAATTTTATAAAGAGAAAAAATTAAAATTTGAGGCTAGGGACATAGTACAAGTGGTAGAGTGCTTGTCTAGCATGTGTAAGGCCTTGGTTTTGATCTGTAGCACCACAAAAACAGAATTTAAAGTATAATAAGCATTTAATTCAGTTCTTGGTTCTTTGCAATAAAACTCATTATCAACTATATATCAGCTATTCCATTTTTTCTTGACAAAGAATATTCAGGGCTTGAGTATGACTCAAGTGGTAGAGCACCTGCCCAGCAAGCTCAAAGTCCTGAGTTCAAACCCCAGTGCAGCCAAAACCCAAAACAAACCAACAAAAAAACCCCAGAACATTCAGCTAACATCATCTGTAAGGGAGGCAGTTAAAAAAAGTTGATTTTTCTCAACTGAAACGATTTCTGAGTTTTGGCAAATGGTCTGAAATACATAAAAGCCTAAGAACTTACTTTATAAAGGGTGAGAGAAGGAAGCCTTCATATAAAGACAGTATATAAACTGAGACCACAAGAAAAAGAAGATACACAGTCAAGTATGGAATGGGGACCAGGACAATGGGGAGAGGAAGCATATGCAAGTCATTGGGGCTAGAGAATGACACAGGTGTTATAACTTCATGGCTTCATACACCAAGACATCACTGGTTCACTAACAGATTCCAATCTGCCATTTTATAGAATATTTCTGTATATAAGTGCAGGAAAACAGATAAAACCATTTTCACTTAACTAGCCAGTGAAAAGACATGTAAAATATAACAGCACCAAAATAATCAGAGGATGTCTTCTATCAGGAATGAGATCACTGGCACCTGGCTGATGCCAGCTTTTCAGATAAAGAATCTGAGGCATAGAAAGATTTATCCAAAGTCAAGTAAGCAGCTGGGCCGCATCTGCCTGCACTGAGCTCTTGGTATTGTTACCTAAAGCCGTTTCCCCAAGAACTCCAGTGCTCCTCCTCCATCGCATTGCCTTCAGTGCTGACTCTCTCTGCATCTAATACTGTTACCACTGCCAGCAGCTTTACAACCTCCTACCTTAGTAAAACCTAATCACCAGACTACATCATGCCTCCTCAAAAACATGAATGTCAAGAATGATCCTGCTCTATAGGTCTTCCTTTCAATACCTGCCCATAAATTTAAAACCAGCATTAACTATATCTGGCATGCTACTATGTTTCCCAATAAGTTTGCTCCCTGAGTTGTTGATTACTTCATCTCATTTTTCAGAGAACTAGCCATTCTTCCTAACAAAACCCACCAACTTACTTGTACTTGCATCAATGTACTCTACCTTCCCTTCAACTCCAACCTAAAACCAGTATCTTCACTTTTGCTCTCAATCTTACTCCTGCACAAAGATTCAGTATCAAAATTACTTGTTTGGTCTATGCCACCAGCTTATGTTGTTTCAGAAATATTCCCATCATCATAAAAAAAAATCATAAAATTATGTCTGAATGTAATCCATCTTGAGGAGAAAAAGACTATGGACCCCCAAATGGGGTCTTTTAACTTTTTTTTGCTTTTGCTGGTGGTGCTGGGGTTTGAACTCAGTGCCTCATGCTTGCTAGGCAGGCGCTTTACCACTTGAGCCACTCCACCACCCCTCCAAATGAGGTCCTTTAATTCACTGCTTTCCATATTACTGAAGTGTATCAAAAAGTTTCTCCATTTCTCACTTCTTCATTCATCATGCTACTCCAACCAGGTTTTGGCCCACCACTCTACTAGAATAGCATAACCAAGAATTTTGTCTTCCTTCTTCTTTTTTTTTTTTTTGTCAGTGCTAGGGTTTGAACTCAGGGCTCTCAGCTTACTCGGCAGGTTCTCTACCATTGGAGCCAGCCTTGGACTGTGATACTTTATTTTTCAGGTAGAGTCTCGTATTTATGCTAGGAGTCAGCATTGGACTGTAAGCCTCCTTCTTATGTCTCTCCTGTAGCTGGATAACAGGTTTTTGTCACCATGCCCTGCAGGACATATGCCACCATAACCTGCCCCATAAACAAGATTTCTAATGAAGCCCATCTTGTTGAATCCAATAGTTAACTCTGTTTGCCTAGCAAACTCAAGGCACTGAGTTCAAACTCCAGTACCATCAAAGCAAAACCACAAGGAATCTGCTAAAATACTCTGCAGAGTAGGGAAATACTTTCCAAGTATTTGCCATCAATCCCAGATGCATGAAATAATAAATTCAACCACATAAAGATAAAAAAAATTACTGTATGGCAAAACATGCTACAAAATACAGTAAAAACAAGCAAAAAACATCAAAAGCTCATTTCTTTAATGTAAAAAAAGTTTATAAATTAGAAAAAGTCAACAACCCAAAAGCAAACATATAAAGGCAATGAATAAATAGGAAGTACAAGTGACAAAAAAAAGTACAAAAAAAAAAAAAGACTCAAACCTCCTCTAAAATAAAAGAAATGCAAAATAAAACACTGGTGTAAATGTTTTACTGAGCAAGTTATCAAGATCATGATATAAACACTGACTTATTACAAACTGTGATATAAATATGTTAGAGACTAGGGAGGAAATAATGCTGTTTATCATAGCAACAAAATCACTTGATAACACCAAAAACTGAGGAATCTGCAGCATAAACATTTTACTTACAATGTGGAGGTAAATACCAAAAGAAAATAGTTATAAGAGTAGAAAGTTGCTTCTGGGGAACAAGTCTTAAAGATTTTTCAGTTTAATAGGACTTTTAGAATGATGTAAATTTTTAAGCTGCATTCATAAATTACTTTGATTTAAAAAAAATGGTTTTAAGCCAGACACTGGTGGTTCATGCCTATAATCTTAGCTACCCAGGAGGCAGAGAACAGGATCACAGTTCAAAGCCAGCCTAGGCTAATAGTTTGCAAGACCCTATCTCAAAAAGACTCTTTACAAAAAAGTACTGCTGGGTGCTAGTGGCTCACGCCTCTAATTCTAGCTGTTCAGGAGGATCAACACCCAGGCAAATAGTTCATGAGACGCTATCTCAGAAAAAAAACATCACAAAAAAGGGCTGGTAGAGTGGCTCAAGGTGTAGGCCCTGAGTTCAAACTCCAATACTGGGTGGGTGGCTGGGGGGGAAACGACAAAAAGTGGTTTTAAAAGTGACAACTAACTCAACAACTCACCTTAACTGCCACGAAGAGCTCTTCTTGAAGTTGTTCAGTTTGCTCTGGTGAGAGCTAAAAGCAAAAAAGCCAAAAGTGAAATGTCTGAGCTCTACGGAGACTAGAAAGGGTGAAATCCTGACTGCAGACATCACATTCGTACCTGCAGGGCTAGAATGGAGGTGATGCTCACTGCCATTGTTTGCATCTTGGGGTTCTCGTGCCTACAGAGCCATCTCATAACAAACTTGGCAGCATCAAACCTGAAAAGCAGTATTGATTTTTCTCACAATTACATCTCTAGATGGCATGAGAGAAGAAACCCAAGAAACCTGTAGCAAAGTTACTTTCAAATTTTCAAACCCTTAGCTATGAATACAAGGACATTTTGAAAAGAGAAAACACTGGGAGAGGAACATGCAAATAAAATTGTGAGCAAAATACACAAGACCAGCAGATCTAAGAAAAACTTCATTTCTTAGCATTCAGTCTCTACTGAGCCAGTTCTGAAAAAGGGAATTCCCACTGAGGTAATAATTTATAATCTGCATTGCAGACAATGTCAAAATGGCACAAGGGAAAAAAAGAAAAAAACCACTCATCTAGAGAGGTTTAACAACTACAACCACACACACGTACAGGAAATTAATGTGAGTCAATGCCCTGTATAGCTATCCTTATCTCAACCAGGAACACTTGTTCCTTCCTATTATTGCTTATACTCTCTCTTCAATAAAATTAGAGATAAGGGCAAAATAGTTTCTGCTGGGTATTGAGGTGGGGGGAGAGGGAGGGGGCAGAGTGGGTGGTAAGGGAGGGGGTGGGGGCAGGGGGGAGAAATGACCCAAGCCTTGTATGCACATATGAATAATAAAACAATAAAAAAAAAAAAAAAAACTACAACCAACCCAGGACCCAGAAATCAGAGGTTTTGTTATATCAGCTTATGCTTACTTTTTCTACTCTTTTACAACAACTCTTACAAGTATTTTTAAATTCATGAAGCTGGAAGACTGCAAAGGCCTCAAAAGGAATCATTGTACAATGTGTAGGATGACAATTTTTAAAATTGTTATTAAGTAATTAATAAGATAAATAAGAAGAGTGACAATACTTTACAAGTAAAATACTTATACTAAGCACTGTTAGAGGTACTTTATAAACATATCTAATCCTCTTAAGAGACTCTTACATAAATGAGGATTCCTTGGGTTTTTCTGTTTTGTTTTGTTTTGTTTTTGGCAGCACTTGGGTTTGAATTCAGGATCTCATGCTTGGTATGCAGGTGCTCTTAATGCTTCAGCCACATCATCAGCCCATTTTTGTGATAGGTTTTTTTGAAGACACGGTCTCTCAAACTATTGCTTCAAATAGATCTCTGCCTCTTGAGTATCTATGATTATAGGTGTGAGCCACTGGTGCCCAGCACAAATGAAAATTCTTATGTAAAAAAAGAAAAAACCCAAACTTACATGCTTGGATTTCTGGAATGCAGTTCTTACCCACAGCCTGCTACTAAAATCACTATGAGGGAAAACTCGTGCATGTAGGGTACCTCTAACCACTTCTCTGTGGAAGAAGCTCAAGAGAGCCCTCTCCCCAGACATCTTACCTCAGCATTTGATAAGGTCCTTGCTAAACTAATAACCAAAGCCAAAATGCTCAGAGTGACAGTGGTCAACAGCCTGAACCAAATAAACACATTTCATTTATACTTACCTGTCAAATGGAACATCCACAAGAATCCTGGAATTCGTTAAGGAGAGAAGACAATTCTTCTGTAACTTTTAGGGAGTAAAGAAAAATAACTGTGAGCAAATACAATACTCCATTTGGATAGTGCTACCAATGAGCTTTTATCACTGAGAGCTCACTGTGTACTGAGCCCTCTCCAAGTTTTCAATTCAATCCTACAACTTTTTTTTTAATTATTTTTTGGCAGTACTGGGGTTTGAACTTAGGGGCTCATGCATGCTAGGCAGATGCTTTTTCCACTTGAGCCATTCCAACAGCCCTTTTTGGTGATGGGATTTTTCAGGATAAGATCTCTCCAACTATTTGCCTGGACTGGCTTTGAACTGCGATTCTCCTGATCTCTGCCTCCTGAGTAGCTGGATTACAGGGTGACCAGCTCTCACTGTGGTTTTAAGTCGAATTTCCCTGATAACTAAAGATATTGAGCATCTTTTCACATGCTCATTTGTCAGTGTACATGTATACACATATGTAATAATACACACACATATATGTTGTTTGTTTTTGAGTTAGGGTAAGCCTATGTAGCCCAGGCTGGTCTTGAACTTGCAATCCTCCTGCCTTAGCCTCCTAAATGCTGGTATGAGCCAGCAGGTGTGAGCCACATGCCCAACTTGTATATATTCTTTGGGGAAGAGTTTAAATCTTTTTACCTTTTTTATAGCCTTATATCTCCAAGTTGTATTCTGAATATATTTTGGATCAGAGACCAAATAAACATTTTCCTCAGTCTATAGCTTACCTTTTCACTTTAAAAATTTTTGACTATGTACATAAACAACTTTTAATTTTGATGAATTCCTTCCTTTTTCCTTTCTTTCTTTTGCAATGCTGGAGACTGAATGCACAGCCTTGAACATGCTAGTCAAGCACTCTTCCACCGAGCTACATCCCTAGCCCAGACGTGTTTTTTCTTCTTTTTTGAGACTGAGGATTATTGAACTCAGGGCCTCCCACTTAGTACTGCTCTACCATGTAAGCCACACCCCCACTCCCATGTGTATTTTTTTGTATCCTAAAATATCTTTACTTACTGAGGAATACTTTGTTTTCTTCTATAAGTTTTATGGTTTTAACTTTTATATCAAGATCTATGATTCCATTCAACCTAATTTTCATGTATGGGATAGAGTAAAGGTCAAGAATTTTAAGTCTGTAAGGATATACTGAAATGTTAATACATGTTTCCATATTTCCTATTTTTTTTATAACCTGAACTCCTGTTCTCTCCCCTGCCCCTCTCTGAATTAAAAACCAGAACTAAATAATATATATTTCTTCTTTATTTGTCCTAAGGTTAAAAAGAAGAAAATCACAGTTAAGTATCCAATTTAAATTACCTGTTGGTAATGGGGGAAATTTTTCAGGGCCTTGAAAAGCAGACAGGTGACCTCTGACAGCAGACGAACGGGCATTCCCCTGGCCAGCCCCTGACGTGTTAGGTTGAGGGCACAAGCACTGGCTGTGAATTGCACTGGCAAGTCCAGTGGGTGATTTCTCATTCCTACAGCCACAAGCTGAAGATAAACTTGTTTTTAGTGGCACGTGACAACATTAACATTTGCTTATTCTATTTTATGTTTGTTTGGGCTGGTAAAAGTCCTTTGTTCATTGGGATAATAACAGATTTTCCTCATCCTTGGCATTCACTCTTTAGGACATCAAGGTATTGCAATAGTACCTTCTAAACCAAATGCAGCCATTAACTAGCTGTGTGACTTCAGGCCAAGTTCCTTCTTTGGCACCTATCTTCTCATCTGTGAAATTAATTCCATAATCATTTATTGAGCTTATTCCACTCAAAGTATTGTGATAGGCATTTCAGGGAACAAAAAAGCACAAATAAGATTTATACCTTACTCCTTACCATAAAGCCTTATAGGAGAAATGGGGTATCTAAATAAATAACACTATGAGCCCGGTTCACACCTGTAATCCTAGGAGGCAAAGATCAGGAGGATCATGGTTCAAAGTCAGACCAAGCAAATAGTTTGTGAGACCCTATCTTGAAAAAAAAACATCACAAAGCCTGGTGAAGTGGCTCAAGGTATAGGCAGAGTACAAATCCCATACCAAAAACACTGTGAAGGATGCCAAAACATGAAACTGAAAAAAGCATCAGAGAAGAGGTGTAAGGAAAATGGTGCCCAAGGTATTTATCAAGGGCACAAACACCCTAGTAACAAGTCATCTTCATTCAAAGAGCACATTAGGCAGGTCTTAGACAGATTTAGACCAGAGGAAATGGAGATGGGGTGGAATGGAGAGGGGATTCCTGAGAAAGGGAAGAAAAATACAAGAGCTGGGGGCATGGTTCAAGTGGAAGAATATCTGCCTAGCAAGCACAAGGCCTTGAGTTCAAACCCCAAAACTGGAAAAAAAAAAAAAGAAAAAGAGGGAAACCACATGGGATGAACCCACCAACAGGAGTTAAGAATTTGAACAGAAGTAATTTGAAGCTAAACTGATGAAGAGCTAGAACAAAATAAGACACTGTTCTAAAGCTTAGACCCAACCTGCTCCAAATTTAAGGACACTGTAACCTGCTTTCTATTCCAAACAGAGATAACTAGTTCAGAGGCCATTCTACCAGCACTGATGTGCATCACGACTGTAAGAGACCAGAATCCCCCACTTGGCAGCTGCATGCCCAGGGACAGACACCCACATGCTTTTGCTATGGAAAATGACTTTTTCTGTATGTTGACAAACTGCTCTCAGGGTTTTCCATTATCTGTAATTTAGAAATGCAGAAACAGTTTTTTCTTTATTCAGTACTACTCTTGCATTGTAAATAAAATTAACTGCTCAGGCTGAAGAAATAGTTTTTATTTCTATGGTTTTGTTTTTTCTTCCCAAGCTGGGGATGGAACTTAGGCCTTACACTTGCTATGTAACCACTCTACCCCTGAAGCACATTCTCAGCGCAACCGTATTTTTAAGGAACTCAAAAGAATTACAAATAATAAAGATCTGTGATTTTTTTTTTTTTTTTTTTGGTGGTACTGGGGTTTGAGCTCAGGCTTCACACTTGCTAAGCAGGCTCTCTACCACTTGAACTACTCTACCAGCCCTAGATCTGTGATTTTAAGACACTTCATTTTCATGTCTCATTTAATTTTACATAACTGCAGTTTTCTAAAAATAAATCCATATATAAAAGAAAAATAATTAATGAAAAAGTGGAGTTTCTTTCCCAAACCATTCAATACTTTTAATTACATGTAAAATAAATTTATTATGCCATAAACCAAAGTTCAGCTATATTAATACTGGTAACTTTTTTTATGGTACTGGGATTTGAACTCAGGGCCTTATGCTTGATAGGCAGGCACTCTACCACTTGAGCCACTCCACCAACCCTGTTTTGTATTGAGACAAGATCTCACGAACTATTTACTAGTGCTGCCATCAAACTCTGATCCTCCTGTTCTTTGCCTCCTAAGTAGCTAGCCACCAGTGCCTGGCAATAATGGTAATTTTATTCATAAAATACTTTTTTTTTTTCTTTTGGTGGCACTAGGTTTGAATTCAGGGCCTCACTCTTGCTAGGCAGGTGCTCTACCACTTCAGCCATGCCCCCAGTTCCATAAAATACTTTTTCTTTTTTTGGTGGGACCAGGGTTTGAACTTCAGGGCTTTGTGCTTAAAAGTAGGCACTCTACTGTTTGAGCCACACTTTCAATCCATTTTGATCTGGTTATTTTGGAGATGGAGTCTTGCAGAACTATTTGTCCAGACTGGCCTCAAACTGTAACCCTCCAGATCTCAGCCTCCCAAATAGTTAAGATTACAGATGTGAGCCACCAGTCCCTGGCTCCATAAAATGCTTTAAATGGTACATTGGCCACCATCAAAAGATTAGTAACTCCTATTTTAGATAAAATAATGCAATGGTCCTCTTCCTCAGACCAAATTCTAAAAATTTTTGGATTCAAATTGATTTCACATAAATTCAGATGTTCAAAGCAAGAGGTAATTTGGCAGTTGAGTTAGTAATATTAATATTCCCATTGTACGGCAGTAGTTGTTATACTCTTACTGAAGTCAACAATAGAGAAAACTAAGTATAGTTATTATTATATTTGTTTTTAACTACAAAAAATCATGTTATTGTAGTGGTTTGATAAACAGATATTAATTGAACCAAGTAAGAAGTAATAATAAAAACAGCCTTTCTGAGGTACAGTTACCTTTAAAATGGCAGGCATTGTTACATGCACTGAAAATGTCTCTGTGAAGAGCCTGTAGAGAGCTTCTTTCATAAAACATGACCTGTTCCTGTATCGATTCAGTGCTTCTGAAATCTGACTCATATTGGCTCCTCCAGCAACCTGAAAAATGAAGATGATGTTAAAAACAGTCATCTATCTGAACAGTCTTTTGGAGCCTCCAATGCTTGAAACAATATGAATAGATGTTCAATCAGCTTCCAGGTGGTTACAAAGTTGCTCTCATTTAGCCATAATTCTAAGATTCCAGAGAGATAAAGCTGCTGCTAATCTAACAAAATGATAAAGCAGTGACATCAGAATTAACTACCATCTCCCTATATTATAATTAAGACCTCAGCTGAGTGCCAGTGGCTCACGCCTATAATCCTAGCTACTAAAGAGTCAGAGATTAGGAGGATCACAGTTCAAAACCAGCCTGGGCAAATAGTTCTTGAGACCCTATCTTGAAAAAATCCAACACACAAAAGGGCAGGTGGACTGGCTCAAGGGGTAGGCCCTGAGTTCTGCAAAAAAAAAAAAAAAAAAATCCAATATACATACAATTGAGGTTTCTGTAGGAAAAATGAGTATTTTTAACTACCTTCCAAAAACCTTTCCAGATATAAAAGAAGACCAAGGGGCTGGGGGCATAGCTCAGTAGTAGAGCACCTATCTAACATTTGCAGCAAGTGTAAGGTTCTGGATTCAATATGTAGCACTGCTATTAAAAAAAAAAAAAAAAGAAAACCTCACCAGAATATCTGGGAAACTGACCTAGATCAAAAGCACTAAAATTTAATGACAAAAAAATCTTTACAATCTCCAATAAAAACATCAAAATACATCTTCTTGGAAGGTTGAGATCAATCTGGGATCAGCCCAGGCAAATAGTTCACAAGACTCCCATCTCCAAAATAACCATAACAAAATGAACTGGAGGTGTGGCTCAAGTGGTAGAAGTCTGCTTTACAAGCATGAAGCCTTGAGTTCAAACCCCAATCCACCACAAAAATGAAAAAAAAAATCAAAATAGCCAGGTGTGATGAAGCATGCCTATAATCCCAGCTACTTGAGAGGTTGAGGCAGGAGGAATTCGAGTTCAAGGTCATCCTTGAAAATTAATTCAAAAAGGATTAGGACTGGTGGAGTGGCTCAATAGAGTGCCTAACAAGCATGAGGCCCTGAATTCAAATCCCAGTACTGGGGGAAAAAAAAAAAGGATTGGGAGCTGGGAGAGATGGCTCATACCTATAACCCTAGCAGATTGGGAAATCTGCAGTTCAAGATCAGCCCAACTGAAAAAGCATGGTGGTGTGCACCTGTCATCCTAGCTATTCAGGAAGCATAACAGAAGTCCACAGCCCTGGCAGACCTAAGCACAAACATGAAACCCTACTGGAAAAATAACTGAGCAAAAAAGAGCTGAGGGCATGGCTCAACTGGTAGAACACTTGCCTAGCAAGTGGAAGACCCTTATTTCAACCCCCAGTACTGCCACACACACACACAAAAAAAAAAAGCAATAGTGTTATCCTAGCATGTGTGAAGCCCTGGGATATGGGATGGGGTGGATGGGACAGGATACAAGAGGGAATGTAACGGTGGGAAAGGAAAGAGAAAGTAAACCCAGGATTTTATATCTAGCCAAGTTATCTTTCAAGTATTCAGATATTTAAAAAAAAAAAAGACTTGCCGGGTACAATGGCTCATGCCTATAATCCTAGCTACTCAGGAGGTAGAGATCAGGAAGATCGTGGTTTGAAGCCATCCCTGGCAAAGTTTGCAAAACCCTACCTTAAAAAAAAAACCATCACAAAAAAGGGCTGGTATAATGGCCCAAGGTGTAGGACCCGAGTTCAAATCCCAGTACTATAAAAAAAAAATACTGAATGAAAATTTCGGGGATACTGACACACCTTCCCATTCTGAAAAGGCTACCTGGTCTACCTATAGTTTCACACAGGCACACAGGCAAGAGACGACTAGGGCAAGTATTCAATGTATTTAATCATAAAGCTAAGACTAAAACAAGGGGCCATGGGTAGACTACTATATAAACATTACATGCTCCCAAAAAAGTAGAAAAAAAAACTGAAGGAATAAGCTGGGTGTGTTGGCACACATCTGTAGTCCCAGCACTTGGGATGCTAAAGCAGAACTGATTAAGTACAGGAGTTTGAGACCAAGCTGGGCGACATTATGATACCCCTCATCTCAAAAAATAGACAAAACTGAAATATGTATGGGCTTACTCATTTACTCACTAAAGTAAAAACTTTTCCAATTGGTTTATAAAGCAAAACCAAACTATGTGGTGTACAAAAGCACACTTTTAAAAGTGACTTTTAAAGGACAAAAATACAAGGAGGGGCAATCTTATATCAGAAAAAGTAAGCCAGTATGGTGGCTCATGCCTATAATCCCAACACTCAGGAGGCAGAGGCAGGAGGATGATGAACTTGAGGCCTGGGCTACATAGCAAATTCAAGGCCAATGGTAGCTGTATATTGAGACCCTATTATTATTACTATTGTTATTATTATTCAGCATTTAGGCAAAATAATGTCAGATCCTTATGAATGCTGATGATAAAAAGCTCTAATCAAATAAAGATGACACTACAAATGCCTTGCACAAATAATGATCAACTATAGCAAGCATGTATATAAAATAGATAATACAGGAACTATAAGAAGGATAAGAGACTCCAACAGACCACTCTTAGTACAAGAAAGGTCAAATAGACAATAAAGACATAAAAGTTCTAAACACAGGACTGAGGACAAAGTTCAGTGATAGAGTACTTGCCTATGGTGTGAGGCCCTGGGTTTGATCCTCAGCATGCCCCAAAAAAAAAAAAAAAAAAAAATCTACACAAAATAAAAACTCTTACAGGTTCATATTGAGCATTTTAATAATGGAGAATGTTGCTTCTACTCAAATGCATATAGAACATTCACAACGCAACAAATTAAAATTTGATAAAATAAAAAAGACACTTCTGCCTGGAAACTTAAATGACCTTTCTGAAACAACTCAAGTGTAGGAGGAAAAAATAAACAGAATTCTGCAGGGTTTTTTTTGCGGTGTTTGGGGAATCAAACCCAGGCTTTCACTTAGGTACACACTCCACTGCTGAATTACATCTCCAACCCCAAAAGGGCTCCTCTAAAGCAGTGACTTTGAGGCTTACCTTCACACTTGAATTACCCGGGAGCTTTTGAAATTCTAATGTCCAGAACAAGTTCCAGAACAATTTCTGGGCAATGGAGATGGACAAAAGTATCAGCATATTTTAATGCTTCCCATGTGATTACAACCAAAGTAAAGAACCATTGTTTTCAAAAATGTATATTCCTGAATATATTTATTTAAATGTACGTAGGCTTTTAAAGTAACACCATGAAAACAGGTTACCAGTGGCTCACACATGTAATCCTAGCTATTTGTGAGGCTGAGATCAGAAGGATCTTGGTTCAAAGCCAGCCTGGGCAAACAGTTTGTCGAGACCTCATCTCCAAAATAACAAGACCCAAATGGACTGGAGGTGGCTCAAGTGGTAGAGTGCCTGATTTGCAAGAGTAAAAATCCTGGGTTCAAACTCCAATCCCACCAAAAAATATATATATTTATAATAATAAAGTAACACCATGAGAAGTTATAAACTTATCTCAGAAATGGTCAAAATTTTTTTGTGGCACTTAATAAAAAACAAACTGCTTTTTTTGTGGAGCTAGCTGGACTAACTCTCCTGCACACCCCCACCTCCACCCTGTGTTACAACAGTAGGCCCAATAAAAGGCTTCTCTTGTATGGTCTAAAAATTAAAAAAAAAAAAATTTTAAACTGCCTTTTGTCTACCTTAGCCAAACTAATGATCTACCTCATCAACTATATTCAGCTCTTTTTTTTTTTTTTTTTTTTTTGGTGGCACTAAGTTTGGACTCAGGTCCCCACACTTGCTAGGCAGGCGCTTTTACTACTTAGCTACTCCACCACCCCTATAATTCAGCTCTTAACAGAGGTAAACAACCTAAAGTTTTAGAGTTACAAAGACTTGGATACAGGAGCTAGCTTGACCATTCAGCAGTGGGGTAAGTAGCCAAATCCCCCTGAACATCCCATCCCTGTCGTCATTTATAAAATGGGAGAGAGGACTATGGCATCTGGCACATAGGAGGCAATGCGTAAGTGGCCGTAATTATCATTATCAAGCTAGATTAGAAGGCCTGGAGGCTGCAACCATATCTTAAAGTTATTCTCTCACAACCTGCCACAGAGCTGCACAATAATTATAAGCTGCTAAATTTTAAAAGACATTTTATCTAGCTCTGTAACTCTAACACCTAGTACAGATTCTGATGTGCAGCAAAAACTTTTATGTTCCAAACAAATGAACTTATTTTAGATAAGAACACACCCTCAAGCCTTGCTTGTAGTTAGAAATCAGAATAACCAGCATCCGTAGCCAAGAGTCCCACAAACTGCCATTGCAGGCGCTGTCGAATAAATAGTTTCTACAAGCTCCATCGGTGACAACTGCCCCAGAAATATCCAGGATACAAATTAGGCAGATGTCCTTCTGCTGCAGCACATGAAAGGCTAGGTCTGATTGAGCTGCCTGTGATCAGAAATATCAAGGTAAAGCAGACCTTGTATTCTCTTGATGACTGCAACAATTTGTGGTTTGGTCTGGTCAAGACATTTTAGATAGTGCATTGTCAGAGACTTGAGTCTACGCTTACAGGTAAGGAGTGGAGAGATGTTAGTGACCAGAGTATTGGAGATATCCAAGTTTTCCAGGTTTGGTAACTGAGAAACATTAGCCAGGTCTTCACTATAAAAACAAACATTAAAAACGCTTAAAGTGCGAAGACCGGTGAGCTGACCAAAGGACAGTAATCTTGAATCCCGAGGGACATTTGTTGAGTCTAACACGAGAGACCGTAAGTTTTGCCGGATCCAGCTATTGCTGCAGAGTGCACTTAAGATGTCTGGGACTGGAAGGTCTGAATGCACTGCAGTGGCATCCACTTCGATGAGCTTATGATGGCAGAAGGCTTTCATGAATGCAGCTGCTGAGAGTTTAGCTTTTTGGATATTGACCAGCTTCAAGTTCATTTGGTTGCCTTGGAAAATGCTTGCTGTTCTATCAGTCAGCTTGCCTGTAAGAGAAGCAGAACCAGCTTGCAATGACAACTATATCTCATGCCTTTCCAGGATACAATATGGCAATGAACTAGGACAGATGCTAGTTAATAGTAATGACTACATTTATTGTATACTTTGTGTCAGCCATTTTTCTAAATCCTGTACTAAGATTATTTCATTTATTCTTTGCACTAACACTATAGAGGAACTATTGTACATCACATAGTTTGGTTTTGCTGGATGGGTACATTGTGGCATTTATAAAAGTTCTTACAAAAATATTGTACTTAAATTCACCTCCTCCACCATTCTCCTTTATCCTCCCTTCCCCCCACAGCCACCTGATTTTCAAAAAAGGTGCCAAAAGAAAAAAAAATACACTGGAGAATACAGGGTCTTCAACAAATAGTGTTGGGAAAACTACGTATTCACACATAGAAGACTAGATCCCTATCCTGTACAAAAATCAATTCAAAATGTAACAGCTGAAATTTTGAAACTACTAAGGGAAAACACTAGAAGATATAGGTATAGGCAATGACTTTTTGAACAGGACTCCAATAGCTCAGGAAATAAGAGTGAGAAATGACAGATGAGATTGCATCAAATTAAAAAGTTTCTGCACAGCAAAGGAAACAATCATGAGACTCAAGATAGCCTAAAGAATAGGAGAAAATCATTACCTGCTATTCATCTGACAAGGGATTAATAACCAAGTATATAGAGCTCAAATAACTAAACAAGAGAACGAATGATCCTATCAGTAAGTGGGCAAATGAGCAATCCTCAAAATAAGTACAAATGACAAATGAACACATGAAGAAATGTTCACCATCCTTAGCCTTACAGGAAATGCAAATCAGTCAGGCACCAGTGGCTCTTGAATGTAATCCGAGCCACTGGGGAGGCTGAGATCTGGATGATCACTGTCCGAGGTCAGCTGGGGAAAAATGCTCGTGAGAGTCCATCTCCAAAATAACTAGAGAAAATGGGCTGGAGGTGTGGCTCAAGCAGCAGTGCACCTGCTCTGCAAGCATGAGGCCCTGAGTTCAAACTCCAGTACACACAAAAAAGAAAAAAAAAAAGTCCTGAGATTCCATCTCACCCTAATCAGAATGGTTATCATCAAGAAAATAAACAACAAATACTGGTGAGGATGGAGATGGGGAAGGAACTCTTATCCATTGTTGATGGGAACGTATATTCGTGCAGTATGGAGGTTCCTTCAAAAAACTGAAAACAGAACATCTGAAGGATATATATATATACATATTTATATACATACACACAATGAAGTATAATTCCTCCGTAAAGAGGACTGAAATTTAGTCAGTTTTAGGAAAATGGATGGAACTGGAGATCGTTTGTTATGCTAAATAAGCCAGGTTCATAAAGACAAACTGTATGTGAAATATACACCATACACATACATTTTATACATACTTTAGTAATCAGAACAGCATGGTAAGTGGACATCCAGTGGCTCGTGCCCTGTAATACTAGCTATTCAGGAGGTAGAGCTCAGGAGGATCTCCATTCAAAGGCAGTCTGGGCAAATAGTTCTTGAGACCCTATCTTGAAAAAACCATCACAAAAAAGGGCTGATGGAGTAGCTTAAGGTGAAGGTCCTGAGTTCAAACCCTAGTACCGCCAAAAAATACCCAACAAAGTAATGCTCAAGTGGTAGAGCGCCTGTCTAACAAGAGTGAGGCCGAGTTCAAACATCAGTACCACCAAAAACAAACGAGAAAAACCCAGCATGGCATTGGCTTAGATCAATGGAACGAGCAGAGTGTAGAAGGAAGTAAGCGAACACATCCATAAGCAACTGATTTTCAACCTAGGAACACGAAGTAAAGGAAGGACAGTCCTTTCCATAAAATGATTCTGGGAAAACAGAAGACTTAAACTAGACTTGTATCTCAACAGTTACAAAAATTAACTCAAAATGGATTAAAGACCTAAATGTTAGAGCATGTGCCTAGCAAGCATGAGGCCCTGAGTTCAAACCCCAGTACATTAAAAAAAACTTATGAAATGAGGTAGGCTATCATAGGGACTGTGGCATGGAAAACAAAAGCAAATCAGAGGCCAGAGCGCCTGTGGCTCACACCTGTAAATCCTAGCTACTTGGGAGGATCACAGTTTGAAGACAGCCCAGGCAAAAACTTCACTAGACCCCATCTCAACCAATAGCTAGAAACAGTGGCTCACACACTGTAATGCTAGTTACTTGGCGGGGGGGGGGGAGGCGCGGACAGAGGAAAGGGAAAAGAAGAGGAGGAAAAGAGGGAAAAACAAAAACATTAGAAATGCTTCAGAACATTAGAATGGGCAAGGATTTTTTAGACAAGACCCCAAAAGCACAGGAAACAAAGCAAAAATGGAAGATGGGATTACATCCTATTAAAAAGCTTCTGATCAAGAAAGGAAACACTCAACAAAGAGACAACTTATGGAATGAGTGAAACAAAGAAACAAGACATTTGAATGTTTTTACCATAAAGAAAAATATTTGAGGAGACAGATATGTCTAACCCAACTAAACATTACACAATGTATACATGTATTGAAATGTCGTTTATTTATTTTCATTTTTTTGGTGATACTCACACCTGTTAAGCAGGCAAGCTAACACCTAAGCTACTCCATCAGCCTTTGGGTGCTGGGTATTTTTGAGAATAGGGTCTCCTTTTTTGTTTTCTTCTTCTTCTTCTTGCCTAGGCTGGCCTTGAACCATGAGTCTCGTGATCTCTGCCTCCCAAGAAACTAGGATTACTAGCATGAGCCACTGGTCCCAGCCAGTTTAAAACTTCTAATTAAAAAAAAAAAAATTCACACTTTTTTTCTATTGTGCTGGGTGTGGGTACATTGTGCCATTTACAAAAGTTCTTACAATAGATCAAATGTATCATACTTGAATTTACCCCCTCCACTATTAGAATTACACTTCAAATGGGTGACTTGTATAGTATGGGAATTCTATCTCAACAAAGCTGTTACCAAAAGAAAAGAACTTCATTGAAAAAACTATAATAAGGCAAATTAAATACATCCCTTTTTTCCTTCCCATAGATTTTTCAACTCCCACTACAATGGGAAGTAAAGATTTTTTTTCTTTTTCAGTGCTGGGATTCCAACCCAGGGCTCCACACATGCTAGGCAAGTGCTCTACCACTGAGCTACATACATCTACAGCTCCAAATAAACATTAAAGGTTCATATTCATAATATCAAGAATGAGAGCTAAGATGACAATGACAGCATTTTGGAAGCCAAAGAGTAGATGAATGATAATGATTTAGTTTTCCACTTTTTTGGGGGTGGGCCTGGGGTTTGAACTCAGGGCTGTGCACCTGCAAAACAGACAATCTACAGCATGAGCCATACCACCAACCCATTCTTCTCTGGCTATTTTGAAGATGGAGTCTCAAGAACTACTTGATGAATGATAATGATTTAGTTTTCCACTTTTTTTGGGGTGGCCTTGGGTTTGAACTCTGGGCGTGTGCACCTGCAAAACAGACAATCTACAGCATGAGCCATACCACCAACCCATTCTTCTCTGGCTATTTTGAAGATGGAGTCTCAAGAACTACTTGCTCAGGCTGGCCTCAAACCATGATCCTCCTGATCTCAGCCTCCCAGGTACATAGGATTACAGACGTGGGCTGCTGGTGCCCAGCAATTTTCCACTTTCTTTATCTGCTAAGCCAATAGCAGGATGGGCTTAGAAGCAAGACAATTTTCATCATGGGATTCCCAGAAATAGATTCAAATTTCACACAATTAAAAGAGGAATAATTTGAGATGATCAAAATGGGAAGTAGACATAATGACATTTTCAAATACTAAAGTGCTTTATGAGCAGACTGTACAGCAGCTACATTACCGTTGCCTAAGCCATTAAATCCCCCCCATCTCGAGAATCCATCACTATTTTCCTGAGGAAAACTCCCAATGCTCGGAAAGAAAACAGCGTTCCATCGGTTCTTTCAGAACACAATTTCTCCAGGTTAGCAATCAAGACACTAAGGCAGATGTTGACCAAAGAGTAGGGTGATGCCTCCTCCTGGCAAATGAACCCCAGATTTTGTTAGATTATATTTGCAAATATTTAACATAAAAGTGGTCATGTTATACATATATCTTCCTAGTGGTTTTATTTAATGAAATGACCTCATCCCAACTGTACCTGTTGTACCTTCCATTGTATCTTGAAAAAAAGTAAGCTATCCCAATCCTTCAATTACCAACGGTCTGTGCAAGCCATTAACAATGCAGGGATGAAGCTGGGCTTAGGGTGCACACCATTTTTTTGATGCACACCTCTAATCCTAGCACAAGAAGGCTGAGGTAAAAGGTTCATGAGTTTGAGACTAGCCTGGGCTACATGGTGAGTCCAAGGCCAGCTTGGGTTAAAAGACCCTGTCTTGAAAACAAGAAGTGTTCACAACCTAAAAAGGTGATACCATCAAAAGTGCTATAGAAAAGTGAAGTGACACTATAAAGGAATATGTATAGTCCCTTTCTCAGTGGACACAGATTGTTCTTCACTCATTCAACAAACATTTGAAAGGCATAGCGCAGTACTAAGATACAGCCAAGGGCTGGCAGAGTAAGCACCTGCTTAGTTTAGCAAGTGAGAAGCCCTGAGTTCAAACCCCAGCACAACCAAAAAATAAAAAGACAACCTGACTTGTCTTTTTTGCCTGACTGCTACCACCTGGCAAACAAGTCCCAAACTTTACTAATCCCCAGCACCACAAAAATAAGTAAGTAAATAATTAAATAAAATAAATAAAGAGAACTATTTGCCTGAGCTGGCCTCAAACCACCACACTCCTGATCTCTACCTCCAGAGTAGCTAGGATTACAGGTGGGAGCCGCCAGCACCCAGCTGTCTGATTTTCGTTTTGTTTTGTTTTTTGAGGCAGGGTCTCACTATGTAACCCAGGCTGGCCTTGAACTGGCGGGCATCCTGCTTTACCCTCCTCCTCCAGAGTGCTGACACATGCCACCATGCCACACCCAGCATGCAGGGTTTTTTTTAGACCTTTACACTGACAATACAGCCAGTTCTTTGTTTACCCACATTAGCTTCATACTTGTAGGCACCATTCAAACTCCCTGCTTATGCATGCCTATAATTCCAAGCACTCAGGATACTGAGGCAGGAGGACTAATGTTTGATTCCTGCCTGGGCAACATGGCAAAACCTTGTCTCCAAAATTAACAAACAAAAATGGATAGATAGGTAAATAGACAGCGTATTAACAGGGCTGCGGATGTGGCTTGGTGTTCTCCCCAGCACCAAAAAAAAAAAGAAAAAAAATGTCCAAAGTATCTTTTTAAAATGAAAATAAAATAAAGATATTCTCAGGTAAAGGAAAGCAGAAAGAACTTGTTACCATCAGATCCCCACTATAAGAAATATTGCCGATGTGGTGATGCACACTTTAATCCCATATAGGTGGAAAACAGAGGCAGGAGGATCTCAAGTTTGAGGCTAGCCCAGGCAAAGTTAGTTGAGACCCTATCTCAAAAACAAAATACAAATATAAGGGTGAGGGGGGGTAGGGGGGGCAGGTCATGTGGTAGAGTACTTGCCTAGCAAGTTTGGGCCCTGGGTTCGAGCCCCAGTACCAGGGAAGGAAAATGAGGAGACGAGAGGGAAGGGAAGGGGAGGGAGGCTTCTCTACCACCAGAGCCACACCATTTTGTTCTGGTTATTTTGGAGATGGGGTCTTATTTGCCCAGGATGGCCTCGAACCTTGATCCTCCAGATCTCAGTCTCCCAAGTACCTAGGATTACAGGTGTGTGCCACCAGCACCTGACTGGCTTTTTCTTGAGCTACACCGTAACCTAGAACTCTTTATTCTCTTGCCTCAGCCTCTTGAGTGCTAGGATTACAGGTTGCTGGGACTACAGATGAGCACCACCATGCCCAGCTACACTAAGCTTTTTAAATGCACCTGCGGTTCAAAGCCAGTCCCAGGCAAATAGCTCTTGAGACCCTATCTCAAAAAAAACCATCATTAAAAAAAGAGCTGGTAGGGTGGCTCTGTAAGGAAATATAGGCCCCAAATGACCACGTGGAGAAGAGTGATCTGGCTAAGAGATTCTTTATTGCCGGATGGAAGAGGGAGAGAGCCAAGAGAGCCAAGGGAGAGAGGGAGAGAGGGGCAGGGGCTTAAATACCCCTCAGTGGGACTCAGCATGATCTGATTGGTTAGGATCTTATGGTTCATGCTGATTGGAGGTTGAGGCAGAAGGAGGATTCAAGCTAGACTTGAGGCAGGACTGAGACCCTGGAAAACAGGAGCTTAAGGGTGCAGTAAGAACCGAAACCTATCGGAGCCATTATTGCCAACAGGCTCAAGAGGTAAGAGTGTCTGTCTAGTAAGCATGCGGCCCAGAGTTCGAACCCCATTGCCTGCCACCAAAATAAATGTAAAAATGCAAATGAACCAACACAGATCATACCTGAGCCGTAACACAAATGTCAATACATAAAAATGAATTATAACCTTTCAACAGAAGTCAGTGGCTCACCCCTCTAATCCTAGCTACTCAGGAGGCAGAAATCAGGAGGATCTCATCCAAAGACACCCTATCTCGAAAAACCCTTCACAAAAATAGGGCTGGTGGAATGTCTCAAGGTGAAGGTCCTGAGTTCAAGCCCAATATTGTCAAAAAAAAAAAAAGTCACTCACAAAAAAAGTATATAAACAAAAAAAGTCACTAACAAAAAAAAGTATGTAAACTATCCCCAAATACTTTGGAACTAAGTGATACACTTTCTAAATATAAATAGCACATGGGTCAAGAGACTAGCTCTTGCCTAGCTTGCCAAAGATTGAAAAAAATAAATATCCCATGGGTCAAAGAAGAAACCAAAATGGAAATTATAAAATATTTTGAACAATATACCAAAATTTATGGTAGTTAACTAAAGCAGTGTTACAGGAAATAGTTTTACAAGTTCACATTAAAAACTTAGAAAGCTATGAAACTAATAACCTTTCTACTTTATAAAGATAAAAACAAAATTAAACACCAAGCAAACAGAAGAACAAGACTTATCAGAGCTGGCAGTGTAGCCCAATGAAAAAGCACAGTGAGTAAGACCCTGGATTCTATCCTGAGTGGGGTGAGGGGAGGAGCACCACCTTAATCAAAATATTGCCTTCCACACTCTGTACTAATTTCTGTACTCTTCACCACTAGATTGAGGCTGGGTCTCGCTATACAGCTCAGGCTGGCCTGGAACTCTCGATCTTCCTCCCGAGTGCTGGGATTACAGGCTTGAGTCACCATATCTGGAAGTACTACTAGATTCTGAGTTCTTTTAAGGTGGCCCTGGGCGTGGTTCAATGTGGTATCTGCTGGCAGACCACCCACGTTCAAGTTCAACAGTTTAACTTGCCGGGCGCAGGTGGCTCACACCTGTAATCCTACCTACTCAGAAGGCAGAAGCCAGCCGGGGCAAATAGTTCGCAAGACCCTACTCGAAAAATACCTAACATAAAAAGGGGTGATGGAGTGGCTCAAGGTGTAGGCCCTGAGTTCAGGCCCCGGTACCGCAAAAATTAAAAAAAAAAAAAAAAAAAAGAAAGTATCAATTTAAATTCCCTACTCAGTAAAGTGAACATTATCAATGCCCACAAAAGACGGGATTACGGATGGCTAGAAACAACACTTCTTCACACACATTCTTGGATTCGCATTGGCGCGGCTCAGTTTAGCAGCCCCGGGGAGGGAGGAAGGGCGAGGAAGAGGGCAGCACGTGGAACCAAGGGAACCTGAGTCTCGGGGGGCTCAGAAGAGGCCTCCTCAAGGTGCGCAGCCTCTGGGGGCCACTCGGTCCGCCAGGCACGTCAAGACTTGGGGCACGTGGCTTGCGGTGCCGACACCCAGGTGCACGCCTACACCGCGTCCCGCACTGCGCCCGGCCAGGAGCCGCCGGCAGGTGACTCCCCTTGAAGCCCCGTCACTTTGCCGGCGCACGCACCGGGCGACGAGCCGAACCTGGGAGGCTCAGCCTGGAGCCTCGCCTCGGGTGCCGACTCCGCGCCTCGCCATTTGTCCGACGGCGTTGCGCCGAGGCCGAATCCCTCGCGTCATTCCCGCCCCGTCCCGTCCCGTCCCGTCCCGTCCCGTTCCCGCCCCGCCGGGGCGCTCACCTGCACCACGCAGTAGCCCAGAGCATCCTTTTGGGCGTCGGGGGGGACCAGGGTCCGGGGTAAGACCCCGGGGTGCAAGAAGTGGACCATAGCGACCCCACCCACGGGGCGACCAGGGCAGGAGGCGTCGAGCGCGCGCGGATCCCGCGAGAACAGACGTGCACACCCGGCAGGCGCTCGCAGGCGGAATGGGGCTGCTTGTAGGACTTTTGAAAGGCCCGGCGGCGCCGCGCAGGCGCTCTGGAGGGCGGCCCGCCCCCCCCAACTCTTCCCTCCGCCCCCCCAACTCTTCCCTCCGCCCCCCCCAACTCTTCCCTCCGCCCCCCCCAACTCTTCCCTCCGCCCCCCACGGAGCAGCCAACTCCTGCTCGCCCCTCAGGGCATTCCCGAGGACCAGCACTATGGAATTGCCTATTGTTTTATTTTTTATTTATTTATTTGCGGTACTGAAGTTTGAACTCCGGGCCTACACCTTGATCCACTCCACCAGCCCCTTTTTGTGATGGGTTTTTTGAAGAGAGGGTCTCAGAACTATTTGCTGGGGGTTGGCTTGGAACTGTGATTTCTCCCTCCTGAGTAGCTAGTATTACAGGCATGAGCGTTGGCACTCAGGTATTTTTTTCTTTTTTTCTTTTTTTTAATTTGGTGGTACTGGGGTTTGAACTCCGCCTCACGCTTGCTAGGCAGGCGCTCTACCACTATCCGCCTGGGGATAGTTTCTTTGTGGTACCAGCCCCAGAATTTTAAATGCTTTAATGCGTTAAAATATATTTCCAAACCGGGTGCTGGTAGGCTCATGCCTGTAATCTTAGCTATTCAGGAGGCAGAGATCAGGAGGATCACAGATCAAAGCCAGCCCCAGGCAAATAGTTCACGTGACCCCATCTCGGAAAAAACCCATCATAAAAAAGGGCTGGTGGAGTGGCTCAAGTCCCAGTCCTCAAAAAAAACGTGTGTGCATGTGTGGATGTATTTCCAAAGGCCTTGCCCTTAAAAGTATGACAACAGCCCTGTTTCAACTCCCAGTGATGCTGGATAAATCAAATATCAGAGCCACTTCTGTCCCAATAAGTATAAGAAAAGAATACAAAATAGTGTCAAGTGGTGGGAGGGAAGAACCTACTCAGCTTTCTTGTTACTTAAAACTATTAAGAAGACCGTTATAACCTGCTCCAGGAAAGAAATCCAGCAAATTAGTACATTTTACCTAATTTAGGAGAAAACATGTCTTGGAAAAGGAAATGTCTCAGATCATAAGTCTTAGAGTTTGAAACCTACTTTGGAAAACTAGGTCACTCATCCACTAACTTAACCTTGGGCAAGAATCTTAAATTTAACTTCCTCTGAAGTAGAATGGAGTGAGAATGTTTGATCACATAGTGTTAAGGTCAGAATTAAATAAGATAATGTTGTAAAATACATGACAATGCTTGGCGATTAGCAAATCCTTGATGAATGGATTCAAATGTTAACATATTTCAAGTACCAATAATTTTGCAAAATACTTGCCTTTCACAATTGCTCTTTAACAAAACAACAAAGTAGAAAATGTGCAGTTGGTACTGTCCTCTGATCTGGAGGCTGAGGCAGGAACATCACTTGAGTGCAGAAGTTAAGGCCAGAATGGGCAACATTCTAAAAAAAAAAAAGAAAGAAATTTCTAGAAAAAGAAAAGGACTTCACTGACTTTGATATGCTAAACAGTAACTAACAATCTAACCACCCTTATATCCTCTCCTCCTGTACTGCTTTCCTGCTTCTTATTATTTTTCATACTATATATTTTATTTTGGCATATTTCCTGCCTCCTAGGAAAAAATGTAAAGGCACAGGATGGCAGGGACTTCTTTTATTGGTATTCCCAGGCCTAAAACAATGATTAAACTTACAGAATTGGCCAATAATGTTTACTTATAAACTTTGATTTGTCAATTTTACCTTAATAAAAAAATGTTGAGTTGGGTGCTGGTGGCTCACTCCTGTAATCTTAGCTACTCAGGAGGCAGAGATCAGGAGGATTGCGGTTTGTAGCCAGCCCGGGCAAATAATTCAAGAGACCCTATCTCAAAAAAAAAACCCTTCACAAATAAAAGGGCTGGTGGAGTGGCTCAAGTGTAGGCCCTGAGTTCAAGCCCCAGTACTGCCAAAAAAACAAAAGTGCCAGCTGGCTCACACCTGTAATCCTAGCTACTTGGGAGGCTGAGATCTGGAGAATGAAGATGGAGGTTCAAGCCCAGCCCAGGAAAATAGACCCGATTTCCATTTCCAAAATACCCGTAGCAAAATAGACTGGAGGTGTGGGTCCAGTGGTAGAGTGCCTGCTTTGCAAACATGAAGCCCTGAGCTCCAACCCCAGTCCCATCAAAAAAAAAAACAAAAGTGTTGAGTAATGAATGTGAAAAAAATTACTTGTAGCTATCGAGGTTTCCTCTTCCCCCTCCTCCACCATCAGATATGGCTGCATCTCAAGAGAAAAAAGAAAAAGCCACCTCTGACTTGGACAGTTACTTGCCCTGTATGCTTCAGTTAACTCTTTTGGAAAATGAGATAATAAAATGATATCAAACTCACGGAATTGGAGTGCTAAGAGAATGTCTAACACCCCATATGTTATTTTCAAATAGACAGGATTGTAACCATAGTCCTAGGCCAGAGACCCAACTCCAGGGGTTCCATTGTGAAAGGTCAGGCAGCTCTCCCCTACATGTCAATTAAAGAGATGAGTAGTAGTGAGGGTCAGAGAAAGAAAATGTATTAACTCTGGCCAAAAGAGGGAGGGCAAGCATTTTAGTCTGCCTTCAGGGTACTGACATGACCTTTAAGTTTAAAGAGAGGAAGAATTGGAGCAGGAAGTGAGAGGTATGTATAATTAAACAGTCCTGGACAAAGTGTGGCCTGACTTCACTTGAGGGGAGCAATCTAGTTCCCATGAGATGATTACTCCTGCTCCAGGGTACAGCCTTATCAATATAAGTAATTGTCCTCATTTGGGGGTGGTCTGTCCTGGAAGGCTCTGTAGTTCCTTTCCTTGGGGGTAGTTTCAGTCCCTTGTCATAAAGATATGTTATCTGAGCCTTTGGCCTAGAGCAAAGTAGACAAATGTAATTGAGACAGGGACGCCATGTTGCCATGCTTTTATCCGAGTAAGGAGGCAGTGCTTTTTAGCAAAAGCAGTTTCTAAGTATCTGTTATTGGTACTGGATTGTGGACCCCAAGTTCTTGTCCTGGCATAGTCGATGATTGAAGACCAGGAGTAAGCGTTAAGGCAAGCATAAGTTATTAACGGATGGGACTAAGAGAAAGAACTAAGCCAAAGAAAGGAGATGACATATATAGGTTGCTGTCTGGCTTAGGTCCACCTGTTCCACCTATTTGTGATTGGTTGGTGTCTAGTCACCTGCTCATTGAATCCAAACACCTATCATCTGTCCCTTTCCTTATCAAACTGAACATTCCACAAGGATCTGCTCAGCTTGTCCTGGTCTTGGAAATTTGCCCAACTCATCCTGGCACCCATGTTGTGCAGCTACATCTTGTTTCTTTCTTTCTTCCTTCCTTTCTTTTTTTTGATAGTACTAGGGCTTGAACTCAGGGCCTACACCTTGAACCACTCCATCAGCCCTTTTTGTGTTATGTGTTTTCAAAACATGGTCTCATGAACTATTTGCCCACAATAGCTTCGAACCAAGATCCTCCTGATCTCTGCCTCCTGAGTAGCAAGTATTATTTGTGTGAGCTAACAGCACCAGACACATCTTATTTTGGTGAGACGCTTGTTATTTCTTTAAGAAGACTATTGCTTCTCACGCCTCTTTAATTTTTAAAAATTTTTTTATGAGCTGTAATTGTTCCATTTGGGTTTTTTTGTTGTTTTTTTTTTTTTTTTTTGGTGGCACTGGGGTTTGAACTCAGAACCTCATGCTTGCTAGCCAGGTGCTCTACCACTTGAGCCACTCCACCAGCCCTCTCACACCTCTTTAGATGGCTGTCTTTTTTTTTTGCACTACTGGGGCCTGAACTCAGGGCCTGCACTTTGAGCACGCCCCCAGCCCTTTTTTTGTGAAGGGTTTTTTCCGAGATAGGGTCTCAAGAATTATTTGCCCAGGGCAACTTCAAATGGTGATCCTTCTGATTTCTGCCTCCTGAGTGACCGAGATTACTAGCACCTAGCTAGATGTCTACTTTTAAAGTGCCTCTCTCATCCAAAACAGAGTCACCTGTGTCATTTCTTCCCTCACATGATAGGGTGCTTTTTAAAGGAAAAAAAAAATCGTGTGTTACTCTGTGACTTTCAACAAACTTTGATCTGTTTCTGGGCATCAATTTTCTCATAGGTAGAATGGTGTAGGGGTTGGAACAGAGAATCTCTGTCATCTGTTCCTTCATCTAATGTGTTCAATAGGGTTTCCATGAATATTTACTGAAATTGATGAATTAAAAATTGCCAGGCAAGGTGGCTCTTACCTGCAATTCTGGCTATTTAGGAGGTTAAGATCAGGAGGATCACAGTTCTAGGACACCCAGAGCAAACAGTACAAGAGACTCCCATCTCCAAAATAATCAGAGCAAAATGGACTGGAGGTGTGGCTCAAGAATATCTGCTTTGCAAGCTTGAAGCACTGAGTTCAAACTCCAGTTCCACACACACACAAAAAAATTAAATAAGATATATTACAATGTACCAATATGCACTACTTTTTTCCCCAAATAAATGTGAAGAAATGTACCTATTTAGATTTAATAAAATACAATTTCTTTAAAAACATTAAAAAAAAAGATATATTGCATTTAAAAAGTCAAGGGCTGGTAGAGTGGCTCAAGTGCTAGAGCTCCTGCCAACAAGGGCAAAGCCCCAAGTTTAACCAGAAGAACTGCCAAAAATAAAAATTAAAAAAAATCAAAGGCTAGCTACTAAGCTTTGTGATTTACTCATATCTGGGTCTAACAGCTTTCCTTGATTTCTCCAACTGTGAAGTAAAACCTTTGTTATGTAAAGCACCTGTCTAGGAAGTGAAGATTGAGGAAGCAATGGGAACCACAGAGGGGTAGGGCTGCAGCAGCCTGAACTAGCAAGGCGTAGCCTGAAGTTA